TGGAACTGGAAAGGGTCCCCGTGAAAAGGCTGCGGAGTGTGTTTCAGGCAGATAAGTCCCTGCCTTTGAAGTGTGGCAGGCGGGCAAAAGCACCCTCCTCTTGTAGCTGCTGCCAGCCGCTGCGAATTAATCACAGCCCGGTACAGATAAGAGTACAAAGCGTGGCTGAACACTTCTCCTGCCCAGAGGAGGGGTCTGTGGGGGACCGCTTGGGACCCAGGATGGGGACTTGAGAGCCTGGAGAGGGGGAGATGGAGGGCTGGGGTGGGAGAACCCTGCGAGGGGACTGGCTGTGGGGTGCTGAAGAGCACCCTCTTCCCAGCGATGGGCTTGGGGTGTCCCCCCTGCAGTGAGACCGGGTCTCTTGAGTACCCCCAAACATGTGGCTTTGGTCCTGTGGGGAGCTGGTGGCCCACCCCAGCACGTCCTGGGCCCCGGCCAGGCCCCTGATGACACGTGTTAAATCCAAAAGCAGCCTTGGCATGTCTGCAGCTGCCTTCCCTCTCCGGCTGTGCTTCCTCCCTCCCTGCCTGGCGTCCCTGGCCCAGGCTGAGCTGTAAAGCCCTGTCCCCTGCCACCATCCTCCTCCGGACCCACTGCCAGCGCTGGGTGGCCGCCAGGTCACGGCTGCTGCCCTTCGTTCCTCTCATCGCCTGTCTTTCCAAACAGCCGCCCTGGGAAGATGCTCCTCTCCGCCTTGTGCCCATTGCTGGTGGCCTTAAGGACAGGGGGAGGTTTTTCCCCTCGGCGGTTTGGTGAGCGGCAGTCCGGCAGCCGTTATGGCAGTGGGGAGGTGCCTCCTCACCTGGGCAGGCCTGGAGGGCATTCTGCCCAGGGGAGCAAGCATGCTGCGATGGAAGGAGCCATCTCTCTGTTTTATCTCTGCCCTCCTGGTGCTTGTGCTTCCCTTTGCTTTTCCCGTGGGTTTCAGGTCCCAGCCTTTGTCTTATACAGCTCCTCAGGGCAGCAGCTCTTCACTACCGCTGGCTGTGGTATGGCCTGGGCCCTGCAGAAGCTTCTGGATGCTCCAGCATCATGGATTGTAAAGGAGAGGTGAGCTTTGGAGGGAGCAGAGGGCTCAAGACAGCAGCAGGACCGGCCAGTGCTGTTGTCCAGCTATGACCCTGCACGGCTGCATGGTTCTTAGCAAGGCGATGTGCTCTCCTCCTCCAAGTCCTGTGCGGGATGGCAACTCCCTTCTCCAGCCAAGACAAGACCATCCCCAAGAACCCTCTCTGGGCCTCCTGGGAGAGGACTTGACTTCTGTACTGTCACTCATTACACTGAGGTGTCTGGGCGTTGAAGTGTTGCATGCTGTCCCTTCCCTCATCATTCCTTCGCTGAGGTTCTCCGTGGCTGGCCTGGGGGGCGAGGAGCCTCTTGGTAAGGTGAGACACCTTTGCATCTCCTGGCCTTGCCCTGCCTCCACCAGCCTGCTCAGCTTCTGGGGGACCAGGTCTTAAAACCTTCCCTCTTCAGAGTGAAAGTGTGCTGGGTGCTCGCCCCGTGGGTGAGCTCCTTGCTTGGGTGGGGAGGGCATGCACATGGGTTTCTGGCAGAGCAGCCTCCCGGCTTCCTTTAAGGTAATTCACCCCAGCAGGGAACTTGTAATTTCTTGCCTCTGGTCTCCTCCGTTTACTTCACGAGGCAGCAGCCCAACAAGCCGACCCTTGCTTCTGCTCCTCCACCTCAGCATGGCCCCACGGTCCAGCTGCCCCCCCCGGGGCTCCTGCCAGCCCCCCCGCAGGAGGCAGCACCGCTGAGCTGCTGCATGAAGCCAGCCTGAGGCAGGCAAGAGCAAGGGCAGGAATCCTGAGCGAGAAATTAGTGTGAGTAATTATTAGTATTGGGTAATTATATCAGCGTCAGGATGAGGAGGAAAGGTTAATAGGTTTATTTATTTATTTATTTGTTGTAAATGTCTTTTCCCCCGGGTGGAAAGGCAAGCAGGGTGGGCAGGAAGGAACGTGTTTCCGAGGGGGGCTGTTCTGATTAAACTGCATCCTCTCCCCCTTCCCCTGCCCCCAGCTACCCTGCGGGTGTGGGGAAAGAGGGGAAAATGATCCCTCCCAGTGTCTGTAAGAGGTAGAAGGCAGCTCGTGCATCCCATGTACCACTCTGCTGTGTTATGGTCCATACACCCTGTCCCCTTCCCGCCAGCTGGGGTGGGTGGGTTCTCGTTGGGCAAATCCTGCTGGAAAGGCCCTGATGCCAGCTTCCCACCTCTACCTGCTCCGCAGTGGGTGCTGTGGGCAATCAGGTCCTCCTGGCATGGGATGATGTTGGGGTCTATCTGCTGATGATCTCCTCGTGCTGGCAAAGAGCAGCGGGATGGATTTGCCTACCACGAGCTAACTCTCAAACTCCCTCTGTGCCATGCCTTTTGGCCAACCAGGAAACAGCTTGTTTGCCAGGTCTTCCAAATTTAATTTTCCCGAATCCCAAATCCACCTATAGAGCATCCTTAGTGGGAAGAGAGGTGCCAGAGAGAGGGGTTCCCGCATGGGCATGCCTGAGGTGGCCCCGTGCCCCTCACCAGAACACCCTGATGTGTGGCAGGCTGGGCTTCACCCCCGTTTGACTACCAGCAGTATTTTTAGGTTCTTCCTGGAGCCTGAAATTAACTGGAAGTGCTTCATGTCTGTTGGGTTTTTTTAATACATCTCTTTCTCTTTCCCAGCACTGCACAGTGTAATAATGTAATGGGGAAATTACCCCGCTAGTTAAAAATTACTGCCAGCGCGACATCCAGCCATAGATCTATTTTAGAACCAGGGTAAAACTATATCGATTCTTCTGTGCCGCAACTGCGGCCCATAAAAGGGTTGGAAAGGTGCATTTGTCACGTTGCCGTAGTGGGGAGGGGAGATGATACCTTGTTGGTGAGGGGGGGATGCTCCCCATTACCGTCCTCCGGAGAGCCAGCTTGGACAGGACTTTGTAGGGGAGAAGCTGAGAGCCAGGAAGGGAGAGACCTGCGAGGGGGTGTGGGGAGGCAGGGTTGGGCTGTGGGGGTGATGCTGGGTACCACTGAGCAAGGGGCACCGCAGGGCAGGGGGTCCTACATGACACTGTACCACACGTGTCTGGGGCTTCGCCTCTTCAGGTGTTTGGAGTGGAAGCAAATGTGATCCTGGACCTGGGCAGAAAGACTCCCCCTCACATCAAAAGGGCAGGCAGAGGTTTTAGGATGGGCTTTTGGCACCTCTGCGTTCCGCAGCACACGGTGGTACCTTGGCTGGGGGTGATAGGGACCAGAGTCTGTGTGGGGGTCTGGCAAAGGATGCTGAGAAGGCAGGTAAGTACCAGCACCAGTGTGGTTTATGGCAAAAACTCTTCAGTCCTGCGGCAGGACATACAAGGGGGTTTTGGGGGTTTTGGCTGTGCTGTGGGCTCCCAAGCGTTAGCCTGGCTCTGCAAGCCCGATCACCACATCCCCGGGGAGAGGGCGGCCCCTTTGCTCACTGCTGTGCAGGACTTGTCGCTCTCTGGTTGCTCAGGGGTCTCTTTCTTAATTAAATACATTTGTTTTGTAAAACTGCCTAAAAATAATCCGGAGCTGGTGCATGCAGGAGGCTGGCAGTGAATCAAAGGCGCCGCTCTAATTAAACGGGCCCCGGTTTGTTTGTGAGCCGCATACATTTCCATGCTAATCAGCTGCACACCGGGATCCTGCTTTCCTGGCCCCGTATACTCCTGATTGAGAACTATGCAAATGCCAGTGGCGATTTATTGCAGGAGGGGGATGAGATGGCTGGGGTGCTAGGGCAGCTGCTATGGGGGGCACAAGGACTTGGGCATGGCTCTGCCGGGATGTGGGAGTGGGTGCGATGATCAGGGCGGGGCTGTGGGATGCATTTTCGGGGGTGCTTCAAAGCAGAGGGTTTGGACCCATGCGATGGGGAGATCCTGAGTCCGGAGGGGTGTGCCAAACTGGCTCCCCACGTGTGCTGGCAGCAGCGTGGAGCTGATCCCAGGCAGCGTTTGCTCTATCTCACTGGGCACGCTGCTTCTCTGCTTGCCTCTGGGTTTTTTGAAGAATGTGCTGCTGGCGTGGCTCCCATCCCATCCCATCCCATCCCATCCCATCCCATCCCCTTGAGCCATTTCTCTGGCACTGTCCCCCTGAGCCTGCCCTGTGCCAGGGTACGGCCTGAATCTGGAGGTATCATAAGCTATGGCATTAACAGGAATTGTCTCGCTTGTGGAGGTGACAATCAGGTTATGGCAAGTAGCACAGCTGAGTTTAGATACTGCTTGATGGGTGCCTACAGCCCCGTGGTGCCTCCTGATGTGGTTATCACCGGTACAGCCAGAAACTGGTGTACTTAGGAAAAGCCTTAATGTAATTGCGAGCTGTAAGGGGATTAGAGCCTTCGGCACGTTCCTGCTCAGGGAACAAAGGCACTTTCTGAACCTCTGTTGACCCTCAGCTTCCTTGAGACCCTCTTGACTTCCCCGGTCGTAAGCCCAAGCGTTTCCTCTGATGGATGGGGAGATGGGAGCCTTGCGTGCTTGCACCGCAGCGTCCTGCCCAGCTGGGGCTCAGTGCGGTGCAGCATACAAGCTGCTTTTGGTATCACTACGACAAGATGGGGTTTGCTGCTTTGCTGCAAGCTGGGGGCTCGCCTGTGCTATGCTGCAGGTTGGAGGGGCTTTGAGGCTGAGCAGCAGTGGGGGAAGCAGGGCAGCTCAGAGGCGGGTGCAGCATGAAAACCGTGGATGTGGTGGCTTCCATCCCTGGAGAGAGGTAAACGCTGTCAGCATAAACGTGGTGCAAATGCACCAGACATGCAAAAAAGGGAAGAAAACATTGCAGTTTGGTCTTATGGAAAGGGTCAGGATGTTTGCAGAGTGGTTCTTACTTTGCCGTGCTGCAGTGGCCGTGGTGTGGCCATGCTGGTGTGGGATGGAGAGGAGGAATCCCCCATCCCATTCCCTGGGCGGGGGCTGAGGTGCACGTGGCACAGTGCTCACCCTCTCCCTTGCTCTCCCCACAGATCCTGGTGGACTTGCCAGCTGAGAGGAAGCACCAAGCGCTGCAGTACGAGAATGTCGTGGCCCACGAGGGCAGCTCCATCCTGCGAGACCTGGTGCTGAGTCCCGACCGCCAGCACATCTACGCCATGACCGAGAAACAGGTAAGGGGAGGGGATGGCAGCCCCTCTGCTCTCCTGATTTGGCAGCCCACTTTGCCACCCCAGCCTGTAGTCAGTGCGCTGGGAAGCCTTTTGGGCAGCTCCCTGGTGGCATCTGGCGTTTGCTTCCTGGCATCAGGGCTGCCTGGGGACTTATGTCCCAGGGGACCAGCAGCAGCTCCTCCCTGCTCCCCTCTGCAAAAACACTGCCCCAAATCGTTGCTCATTAGCAGCAGCTGCTTGAAATCTCTGTGGTCCCTCAGGACTGAGGGCTTCCTGACCCTTCCTTGCTGCAAGAGGCTGGCCATAAACCTCCTCCGTGTTCTGGCTATTCCTTCCTGAGCAGGGTTTTGCAGGTTAGCAGACACGTCTTGCTCCAAACAGCTTTTTCTCCTCTGGGGCAGTTGCTTTTGCACCTCAGGGCAGCGGGGACATGGGGCTGGTGTGCCTCTAGGCACTGACATGTGCCCCTAGGTCCCTTCCTCTGCTCATGCTGAGCCAATCAGAGGTACAGACCTGATCCGGATCCGGTGCTGCTGTCCTGGCAATGCAGTCAGGGCTCACAATAAGGAAGTTTTCATTGGCTGTATGAGCATTTGTGTGATCCCTGATGTTTGGGAGAGCTTGCTGGTATGAGTTCATTCATCCACAGGCTGCACTGGAGAGGGTGAAGGAGGTTCATGCCGCAGTGGTGGCACTTTTTGGATCCGGTGTCAGCAGGGACACATGCCATGCCCGGTGGGGTGACGCAGGGTGGCTGTGCTGGGACGTGGTGTGCCTGTGTCTCGTAGCATCTCCGCTCCTCTGCCCAGCAGAGGTGTGTGTGAGTGGGACCGCAGTGGAGCTCAGAGCCTAACAGGTCTGGCCGCCAGCCGGGGGGCTTGGGAGAGGGAAGGATGCTGGAGTAGGGCCGTGGGTTTGTCTAGACAGCCCGGTGGGGACAGCGGAGCCCTTTCCCTCCGCCTCTCAGTGCCTTTCTCTGGTTTCTGCCCTGCTGCAGGAAACCTGTGATTTTCCAGATGAGGCAGAAACTGCATTTAGGCTCCTCTGTGCAGCTTTCCCTGTGTGTGTTTCTGTTCTTGGCTGTTTGTATCCCAGGTCTGGCTCAGCTAAGCCTCCCCTCTGCAGGGGAGATGTTGGAATTGTGGATGCTGGGGAGGTGGTTACGCTGACCTGGACTGGGGATCTCCCCCAAGGGCCACTATGATTGCTGGGAGCCAGCACACGCCTGTGCGGGGTCTGCTTTAGGGGGGACCCACTGCTGACCCCCTCACTACCACCTGCCTGAAGCAATGTCAGGGACAAACAAATAGGAATACTACAGGTATCTTCACTGGTGTGCAAACCAGAGGGTACTGGTTGGCCAGCCTTATCCCAGCCCTGTGGGCATCTCACTGAGCCCATGCCCTGCCCTGCTGGGCTGGAAGGAGGGATAGCACCATGGATTTAGCCTTCAGTAGAGAAGTTTGTAAATCTTAATTAATGAGTGAGTCCTGCCCTGTGGGAGCAGCGGGAAACTGAGGCATGAGCGCATCAGGGGTGGGCGGCTGCTTGGTGCTGCTGGCTCCTTGCAGCAGGCGAGCAGGCAGCTCCCTGCACCCCCTCCTCGCCCCCCCCCCTCTCCTCCCCTCTCCTTAATAAAACCCACTCTCTTCCCTATGATGGCTCGGTGTTATCGGAGTGCTGGTGGAAAGTAATTAAATGAACAGTTGTAACAGAGCTCGAAGGGCTCGGAGAACGAGGGGATTTTAATCAAATCTGGAGGAGCAATTAATAAAGGACTGGTAACCCTTTCGGAGCAGGGCTGTGGCAGCTGCAGGGCGCCTGGCCGGCGCTGGGAGCCGGCACAGCCCAATCCCACAGCCCTGCGGAGATGCAGTGGTGGAAGGAGCTTGGCTGAAGTAAAAGCCTCCCTAGGGTGGAAGTGTTGCTTTCAAATGTGCTGCTCGGGAGAGGAGCGGGTGATGGTGGGGGCTCAACCTGCTCCTCACCGCTGCCTTTGCTTTAATGAGGTGGGAGCCGTGGGCCAGCGTGAGTCCCATCTCTGGTGGGATACAGGTGTGGACACAGCAGGGAAACACACAGCCTGTCCCCCTTCACTCCCTGCCTGCTCCCCGCAGGTGACACGGGTGCCGGTGGAGAGCTGCGAGCAGTACGAGAGCTGCGAGCTGTGCCTGGGCTCCCGGGACCCCCACTGTGGCTGGTGCGTCCTCCACAACATGTGAGTACTGCAGGCTCAGCCCCGGGGCTACGCCAGCAAACTGTGGTTTGCAAACCGTGTCCGTCCCCACTGCTGGTGTCCATGGGGACGTATCTCCTGGACTTCAGTCCTGAGCCGTGGGGGGATGGAGTGGCCCAGGGGGTCTGTCATCCCTTCCTGCGGCACCCAGGCAGTGCTCATGAGCACCCATGTGTGGCGCAGCCACTGGCAGGGCCCTTCTAATCCTGCCCACGGGCTCTTGGGTTTGGCATCTTTGTGCCAATAAGAAAAGCTGAATGTAAAAGACCCCCAGAAGTTCCCAGTGCTGGCACCAGGGGAAAGCAAAGCTCCTGTACGGGCCTCAGGCACCCAAGGTCCCTAGCTGGGCATCACCCCCGTGCCAAAGGGTCTGTCTGCTGCGGCGTCAGGCCGGAGCAGTGCAGGGCCTGGTGGGATTCTCCTCCTCACCGTGGTGGTTTCATCCCCCTCCAGATGCTCGCGCAAGGACCGGTGCGAGCGGGCGGATGAGCCCCAGCGCTTCGCCTCCGACCTGCGGCAGTGCGTCCAGCTCACCGTCCAGCCGAAGAACATCTCGGTCACCATGTCGGAGGTCCCGGTAAGCCACCTCTGCTGCCCGCAGAGCCAGCCTAGCCAGCTCCCAACTCTCTGGAAGCCATGGCTGGGGAGGTGGTGATTAAAAATAATGAGTGTACAACAAATAGGGAGAAAGGGGACGAGAGGTCCGAGACAAATAAAACGTAGCAAAATGCAGGGCACTGATGGGGGCTGGCCTGTCGATGGAGATAATAAACCAGTTGATGATTATTCAGAAAAGACATAACCAAGCAATAAATAATCTCTCCATAGTACAAACACCAGCATCAGAGATGCCATTCGTAGGCTAGAGGTCTGTCTAGCTCAATAGCCTGTCTCTGACCCTGGCCTTTAGTAGATATTTTGGGATGAGACTTCGATGCACAACTTGCTGCTCTCTCTGTGCAGACAGAAAGGATGATGGACTTCCCCAAAGTATTTTCCAGGCCATTAGTGCTGTGAAGAGAATATGAAACAGCGTATACTAGCAATAAAGTTTTGAAAAGTGCCATGTCTGGTTATCTGACACTCAAGAGTCCTAAAAGATCTGGCCACAGAGTTCTGTGGCCTGCAGATATTTGTTATAATATGACTTTGTAATAAATAAGTGAATGTTGAGAAAATCCCCGGAAACAGAAAAGGTGCTCATGTTTTGCCCAGATGCAGAAAGGACCAAATGGTCAGAGGCTGCTTAGTTTGACATCAGATTTAGTAAAACTAAAGGAAAGAAACTGGTGCAGGATACAACTGATAAAGGTTTAAGGATGGGAATATAATTAATGCCAGTCAACATGGTTTTATGTCAAACAAACCACATTTTGTTCTTTGATGAAATTATGACTTGAATTAGAAGAGGGACTGCAGGGATGTGATGTCTCTAGGCTTCTACAAGGCATTTGACTTGGTACAACACAATGTTCTGATTAAAAATTAGCATTATACAATATTGATAAAGCACATGTTAAGTGGATTAAGAACTGGCTCCGTGACAGATCTCAAAAAGTCCTTGTCAGAAGGGAATTGTCACCGGATGGAAATGCTTTGGAAAGCACTTCTGCAGGGGCTAACGTTCACTGGTAACATGGAGATAAGTGTGAGATGGCTGAGGATGGGACCTGCTGGGACTGAGGGGTTGGCATGGGATGAGATTTCCTTCAGAGCAGTTGGGTTTGGGTAGGGCTAGTTTAGCAGAGATATTCGGGTTTGATATTGCCAAGTCTAAAGTTAGACATGGAGGACAAGACAGGCATTCAGCCCGTGTTCTGGAAAGTGGTGTGAGGGCTGAGCCCTTGCTGCGGGGCTCTCGAGGCTCCCTGGGCAAAGCCAGGAGCTGGATGGTGTTCTCACCTCTTGGGTGGTTATCCCCCTGACCGATGGCAGGATGCTGTGTGGAGGTCTGGTGTGGTCGACACAGGGACACTGTGCTCAGGCTGGAGTCCAGCTTTTAAAAGGAGAGGCTGAAAACCTCCCGTAAACATCATGCAAATGAGTTGAAGGCTGGAGAAAATGCCTTGCAGTGAGAGACTTCCAGAGCTCAATCTGCTTAGCTTATCAAAAAGAAGATTAAGAGGTGACTTGATTACAGAGTATAAGTGCCTTTACAAGGAGCAAATATCAGGGACTAAAGGGCTTTTTAATCTATCAAGGAAAGGCATAACAAGAACTAATGGCTGGAAGCTGTGAAAAATTCAAATTAGAAATAAGGCAAGCGTTTTGTAAAGTGAGAACTGCTGACCCTGGGAATGATTTTGTGAAGGAAGAGGTGGATTCCTCCCCTCCTTGGCTCTGCTGGAGTGAACGCCTTTCCGCGAAACACTCTTTAGCCCCAGTGCTGTGCTTGGTCTCTGTAGAGAGGTGAGGCCTAATAGCTTGTGGTATGGTGAGGGCAGAGGATGGGAGTCTGTGAGTCATTCCATCTTTTAACCCATTTAAATCTGCACTCCTTGCTTGCGTGGAGAGGTCCATGGATGGGGCTCTCTGGCAAAAGCCCGGAGCAGGTCTCCCCACCATGTGTGGGTTGCAGAGGAGGGATTGCACCCTTGGTCTTCTCTGTTGGCTGGACTTACACATAGCAGACACAGAGGAGTCTGTTTTACTAGTTATCTGTGTTGACACTCTTGCCTCTCCTCTCCAGCTGGTCTTGCAGGCCTGGAATGTCCCGGACCTCTCGGCAGGAGTCAACTGCTCCTTTGAAGACTTTACCGAGTCTGAGAGCCGCATTGAAGATGGGAAGATCTACTGCAGCTCTCCCTCTGCCAAGGATGTCATCCCCATCACGAGGGGCCGTGGTGAGCTTGTGCCCTGGGGTGGGAAGAAAGCCTGAGACAAACCTTCTCCCACTTATTGCCCCACAGGGAAGATGTGGAGGACAGTCCTCCTGTGACAGTGACCCCCAGCCCCCGAGCAGGATGCAAGTTGGGTTCTTGGGGTGTAGGAGAAGGGCATTACTGCTCATGGAGGACTGGTCATTGGTCTCCTCCAAGCCATGGGCACAGCTGCTTGATGACACTGTAGTGGTCTGGGCACCCTGGCCTTGTTCCCACCTCTGGACCATTCCTGGGCAGATGTTCTGTAGGTGGCCACAGGCTCTAGGACATTCTGCTCACCCCAGAACTGTTAGGCTCTCCTTCTGTACCACCAGTACAACCCAAGGCACCTGCCTCCATGCCAGCAGGTTGTAGATAGCTGTGGGGGCTCAGAGCTGCACTTGGGCTCTGCTGGCCTGTTTGGTGGCTGCGTAGGGGTGAGTGAGCACTCTTTTTATTGCCAGATTTGGGGGATTTTGTTAGTTAACTGGGCTGAGTGGTGATGCCCAGCTCCGTACAGCCCATCACAAGCCTTGGACTGAATGCTGGGCTGTACACTGTGTCCTTTCTGATGTCTTTTTCTGCCTGGGTCTCTCCCAGGGGACAAGCGAGTGGTGAAGCTCTACCTGAAATCTAAGGAGACGGGGAAGAAGTTTGCCTCTGTGGATTTTGTTTTCTACAACTGCAGCGTCCATCAGTCGTAAGTGGCCTGGGCTTCGCGAGAGTGCTTCGGGAACAGATTGGGGGGGCAATGTGTGACTGGGCAAGATCTCAGCTTTGTGGGTGCTGGTGTTGCAGGAGGAAAGGGCAGTCAAGTATACCGGTGTTTGCAGTGAAAAACCTCCTCCTTTTGCCCTTGTAAACTGGAATGGTGACCAGAGCACCCACAGTTAGTTTGGATATGTAGGAATGTGTAACATCAAGGCAGAACCTCACTTAAAACCAGGGGTTTGGATTTGGCAAAGCTTTGGAAGAAAAAGCAAGTTTACTGCATTGCAGACTGTAGCAATCCATGTGACCAAAAATGCCAAGTATCTTGTTATTCCTGGAAACAGTTAATAGGAGTGACTTGGTGATGCAAAAGGAGAAGCCTGTGTTTTCCTGCAACGGTACCTGCTTCCCAGGCTTGCTGGAGAGTGAGCTGGAAAGTTACAGCAACATGGGGATGGAACATGCTGCATGTCCTGGGGCGTTTACCCAAGAATTTCCTAACTGGAAGTAATTGTGAATTTGCTTTCTTGTCAGGCTGCTGTGAAATCTACTCCACGTAGACATTTTCAGGCATTTTGAGATATGCATGTGATAAAATAGAGGAGGTGCGGATTATTGATGTGCTGTCTAAGCAGTGTGTCTAAAGCCTCTAACAGTGAGTTCCTGATGAGGAGCTGCGGGTGGTGTGCTTGAGCAGCGGGGAGATGGCTCTGCTGTGGGCACGTCGGAGGAGATGCTGGGGTGTGTTTGGGCAAAGAATTTGGAGCTCAAGAATGCAAGCTATTTCATTACCCTGCCAGAAACCTCCCATGGATGGTGGCGCTCCAGCTGATCAGTAATTATAGATAAGCAAATGCAGTGATCTCTTTCGGATGACTTTTTGCAAAGTGTCTAGCCTGGCTTTGGGAGCTCTGCTGCAGGTTGCTCCTCCAAAGCCTGTTCGGATTTTCCACTTTGAGCGGGGAAAAGCAGGTGAGATGTGGGTGCCCCAGCTGGTACCTGTGGTGAGCTGCGAGGGGGTTGTGTCGGAGGAGAGCCCCTTCAAACCATGCGCCTCCGGGATTTCTGCCCTGCCTGCTCTTCACACAGCGAGTGGGTCTTGGCTCCTGGGAGTGTTGTGCCAGCGAGGCAGGAGAGAGTTTGCAAACTTGACTTTATCCCTCACCTTGACTCCTGAGATGAGCTTTGTCTCCCTTCACGTCGTGTGGTTTCAATAACATTAGCTCAGCTTTGGCTCGGGCTGGCTGCATATCATTATTTTGCAAATCAAAAAGCAGATGTGACTTTTATTTTTCTAAATGAAAGAAAGAAGACTTTTAAGTATAATTGGCATCGGATTTGGTCCAATTGGGGCTCCAGCATTTTGGTCCAGCGGGAAGAGGTGGTGAGGGAATTGGCATTTTATTTTATGTGCCTGACACAGGAGTGGGCAAATAAAAAAAACCCACCACCCACCCCCCCCCACCACCCCCAGCCAAACAAACCTACAACAAAGAACTCTGACTGATTTATTACTGCGTTGATGTTTAATTTTGGATGCATTATTTAAAAAGGCTAATTATGGATGCATTAATATTTATGGGCTCCGGTTGGAGTTGATAGAAAAGTCCATGTTCTAGGCTGGTGAACATTATTATTATTATTTCCTTTACATCAAGAATTTTAGGGTATGGAGGCAGTTTTAGCTGTGACCTGCAGTCGAGTCATAGCCAAAGAACATGACAATACCTAGGATGATGCAATACTTTTAAATACCATTTGCAGACAGGCGTCTTTAATGGATCTCTTTGGAGTTAATAGCCTTTCAGATCCAGGTTTCATATTTTGTGGAGGAAAATCTATACATCAGCCTGATAAATTCTGTATTAGGAACAATATGCTTTTCCATGAGGCTAATGTTTTTCCTGTGGAGATCTTTGATCACTGTGCATTACGTTTTCTTTTTATATTTGGGTGGCTTTGCTTAGGCTGGAAGCCAGAGGCTTGTGTGTCAAATCATTTCTCAGCTGAGGACAAAACGTTTAGGTGAGATTTTTCAGATGGTTGTGGAGAGATGGGAGGATTATAAGTCAGCGCTTCACTGGTGTCAGCTGGGGTAGCTCCAGGGAAGCCGATGCAGCTCCACCGTGTACACCGGGGAGAGTCTGATCCTTCTTATTTTCAGCAGACATCTGGAAAGGCATCAGCAAGACACACCACTAAAGCCCTTTTGCAAGCGGCAGAGCCGATGCTGCCTCTGTGTGCGCATCCTGGCTCTCTTGTTTCTCAGTGCCTTGCAAAACTCTTCTTCCCGTGCATTTTCAAGGACTGCTGGAACCAGCCTGGTCCAGGGAGGGATTGCAGAAGGGAAGATACATCTAATCCCTTCTCCTGCAGGGAAGGAGAGGTGTGGAGGAGGTTGCGCTGCCTGTAAGTTTGGCTTGTGATGGTCAAGGCCAAGGGGGTGCCTTCTGGGTGCCCGTTGCTGTTTTGTCTGTTATTTCAGGGCTTTATAGTGTCACCCAGGGCAGTAGGACGGTCCCCACTGCAGACCAGCATCCCTTGCTCCCAGGGTACTTCTTCATGAGGGGCCCGTGGGAGCACTGGTCTGGGACTCACACCTTCTCTAGGGCACAGCAGGTCCCAGCCTGGTGTACTGCACCCCGGCAGCCTCAGGGCTCCCAGGGAATTCAGGCAGGCATTTCCAGGCAGTGGCATCTTTTGGGCTTCTTGCCCCAGAAGGCTTGAGCATCAAGCAGGGGATGTTTCTGGCTGAGCTGAGAGGTGCATTGAGTGGGGGAGTGGAAACCTGGAGGTCGATGCAGAAAAACGGGTCCCTTGCAGAGGGGGATGTGGGTGACTGAGGGTCACTGCCAGCCCATGGTGGGGGGAGCAGGTCTGCCCGTGCAAGCTTACCTGCAGCTTCTGGGGACAGGCTCTGGTTCCTGCGGTGGAGGATGGAATGGAAAACCCCATGGCAGGGACCGGGGTGGGTTCCCTTGGGGGTTTCCTATGGGCATCAATCAAGAGCAGGCGTTTAAAAACTGCTTGGTGCTTTTTACCATCCAATGAATTAGCCCGTGTCTAGCATGTATGCAGGCAGATGTTGAGGTTGTCTTTGTCAGTGTTAAACTCCCTTTTCAAAGCATTCGTGGGGAAATGAGTCCACTTTCAAGATACAGATGGTGACACCGGACTCCCTGCCTGCCTCCAGCAGAGCCCATGCTTGCTGGCAAGGTGGGTGAGTGGGTAATCCTCCTGGAAAGCCAGCGAGCAGTTTCAGGGAATATGAAGATGTATTTTTTCCCACTATTTCCATATTTGCTCTCTGGGTTTCTCTCCTGGAATCTCTGCTCCGTAAATCCTGTTGCAGTTTGGATTTTTGGAGAGCATGGCTGCAGGGAGCGGGCTGGCAAGTGGAGGGGGGCAGAGAAGCTTCAATGCTTCCTTCAATGCTATGGGTAGGTTTTTCAGCGCTGCTGTTTTTTTGAGCACTGGTGTGCCGAGCGCATCACCGGACTGCCCGCCAGCATGACCAGCTATTGCAGCATGGAAGCAGAAATCCAGATGGTGGCACAAGGGGAAGGGGGAAAATCACATGTCAGTGGGTCTGATGCCGAGAGGGGATCTGAGCAGCCTGGAAACCTGTGCTGGTGCACACCCGTGCTGTGTGTCCTATCCAGGAGGTGGTCATGATGCTACCAGCCTCGTGGTTGTGCCTCGCTGCAGTGACACCCGGGTCCCATCAGCTGTGGGGTGCTGAATTTCTCCGAGGCTGGAGCCAAGGGGAAGACATGCCAAGCGGCTCTAATTTCTCCTGGCTGGAGAGATGTGACTCTGCCATGGCCCTGCCCCACAGGTCAGGCTCTCCCTCTAAGCCTCCATTAAGCAAATGGGATTTTAATGCATGTCCCAGGGGCTGGGAGCAGCAGGACTGGGCTGCTTTGGTGGCCGAGGCACCTGTTGGCACCCGTGGGCCGATGCCAGCCCTCACGCCGCTGGGCTCCTCGCTGCAGCCTTTCCAGCTGCCCGCACCACCGAGCTGCCCGCACGTGGCGTGGCCGCTTCTCCGCTGGCCCAGCGCTGCTCATTTCCAGATGCTTACAGATGCTTTATTTTCAAAGGCATGGACAGATGGCTGCAAGCAGTTCAGTGAGTGTATCTGAGTTTGCACGGCTGAGCTGCGAGGTGGTAACAGATCCCTGTGTATTCCTGGAGTGGGGCAGGTGGAAAATCCTATAGGATGGCCTCAGAGACCACTTGGGATAACCTGGTTTATGTAGTGTTTGCTGTGAATGAGGAGGGCTGGTACAGCCTGGTGTTGTGTTTCAGTGAGGGGAGGCAGCTGAAAGTATTTCAAGTGAATTACCTTAAAAGCTGGGGCCTGATTCTGCGTCCTCCAGCCAGTGTGATGGTGGATGCCCTGGATCACCCTGCAGCGGGTCAGCGTGCCCAACCCCTACCCTGTGAGTAAGGCCCTTGGCAGAACCCAGCAGGGATGGAAAAACATTGGGCTGGCATGAAATTAAGGGCAGAAACAGATTGAGATGGGCAGGGTTGGAGGGAGGGGAGAGCTGATCTCCCACTGTGGCAATCCTGGCTTTGGGTTTGGGCACCGGTCGGGAAGGGCAAGGCTACCCGTAGGGGCTTGTGGGCACTGATTGTCTGTTCCCACTGCTCTTCAGGATTTCCCTCTCCCCCTGGGGCAGAGAGATGGATCTAAATCCCAAAGAATTGCAGTTCAGCCCCTCACCCCTGACAGCTGCTGCTCCAGATGCAGGCTATGCCAGAGCTGCGTATTTGCTAAAGATGCATCCTCCTCCTGCCAAGAGGAGGTCTGAGGAGCAGTCGGGGGGCTCGCAGGCGGGCTGTGCTGTGTGTGTGCAGATGCTGTTTCCGTCATCACTGTGTTTATAATTTCTCTCCTCGGTGGACCTCCCCAGCTCTGCTCTTAGTGCTGTTCAACTTGCCCCTGTCCCTCCTCCCTGCCCTTCCCTCCGTGTCCTTTCCCCAGGAATGTGCTGCTCCATGGAAATAGACCGGATGTCTGTGTGTGTGCGTGCACGCGTGCGTGTAGCGCTTGCACCCCCGGTCCCTCTCCTGTTTGCTGCTCAGGCTTATCTCACTCCTGTGGACACCGGTTTTGTTTTCTGCCTTCCCTCCTCAGCGTGCTGAAGCGCTCTGGGCTCCTTCGGGCACGTGGCTCTCCTGGGGCTGGGAGTGCGGGAAGGAGAGCGAGCGAGGAGCCGGGGCCCGGCACCGCTGGCTTCCCGTGCTTCCCATCCGCTGTGATCGCTTCGGATCAGGTGTGGAGACAGCCGTGACCTCCCCATGGTGGCCGGAGGTGCCTTCTGCAGAGCAACCTGTGCACCCAGGGAGGAGCGGGTCCCCAAAGCCACCCCCGGGTCTGGGCTTGTCTTGCAGCGATGCTGGTGGCCCAACACCCACCCTGGAGATGCACCCAGCTCTGACATGGTCCTTCTCTGTCCTGCCACACTCTCCAAACTACGCCTGTTCTGCAGCCCTATCAGGCGTTTCCCTAGCGTGGCCTTAACCAGTTTGGGCTCAGTTATGAAAGTGGAGGAAAGCAGTGTTGGGAGGTCTTGACCCCAGCTGTACAGTGAGTTGGGGGCAGGCGTGGAGGCTGTGGGCAGGCTCCGGCTTCACCCCCAAGTCACTTGGAGGTGGGCAGAGCTGCCCTGCTTCCTGCAAGGCTGCCTGCTCTTTCTGGGGGAGGTTGCAGGCTGGTAGCAAGCTTGGACTTGTTTTAAGATGGGGCACTTTGCACAGTTATTCTGAAATGCGGTTCTGAGGCTGGTGCAACTCCTCTTGCACAAGAACATTAGGAGGCAAGGGGGGCACTGCTGGTGTCTGACCCCCTTCCCAGCCTGGGCTTCGACTCCACCTGGCCCCTGGCAGGGCTGAGGAGGAGGCAGATGGGGAGCAAGCTGTGGGTCTGTGTCTGTGCTGCACCCCCAGCATCGTTTTTCTGCCTGACTGGGCTTCTTGCACTCCTGGCACGCTTTGGGAGGTGGGGGGTGGGGGGGGACTTCAGCACATGAAGGAGAGCCTCCCTCTAATTATCAGGAGTGATGAAAGCCTCTTAGGCAAGAAGTGATGAGGGAAGAGTGCCTGACCGTGGGAAGGAGAGAGACAGCACAGATGGCATCATGCTGCCGAGCAACCTGCTCCTGTGCCGGGAACAGACAGCAGCGACACACGGACACACCGGGGATACGGCCCTGGCCATGCCGCCCAGCCTGACCTGCCGCCGGGGAGCCCCACCACGGCTCCTGCCCTGGGCTTTGGGCAGCCTCGCGGGGAGCTGGGGCGGTCACACGGGCATTCCGAGGCCAGAAGGACCGAGGCAGGTTGGAAATGGGGTTTCACCGTGTTACTGGCACCTGGGCGCTGACTTGCTCGCCACTTTACAGAGTCTTTGGCCAGCCCAGGGTTGTGACCCAGCCAGGCTCTAAATGCAGCAGAAATGTTGTGGAGCGAGACGTATGGAGGTGAACACTCTTACGACAGCGTTTGATGTCCTTATGGCAGATGGAGAACCTCGGCAGAAGGGAAAGCGTGAAAACCATCTCCAAGGATGGGGCTTTAGAAGTGGCTCGATTAAGTTAGAAGCAGCTGGGAGGGCTGAAGTGGGAGGTAGGGAACCACCTCAGGGCGTACGTGGAGGATAACCTTGAGATGCTTTAGGTCCTTTGACGAGTGGAGACCAGCAAACCATCTGGGACCTGCAGTAGTTAAATGGCAAAAGGAGACCCTCAGGTGAGGAAGGTCCCAAAATAGCCAATATTTGACTTTGGCCCTGAAGAGCTACGGAGCAGAGCTGCAACTCTGGGTGCCGGAGTGCCTGGGGCAAGGTTGTGCTGGGTGTTTCACCTGACTGCTTTGAGGTGCCTCACGAGGTGGCGGAGAGAGGACTGGGGAGTCTTTTTGCAAACCCTGAAAGACCTGGTGGCTGTAAAATCTCTCCTTTGCAGAGGGCCGATTTCGTTTGAGGGTTGGTGGTTATGCCCCAGCATGTGACTTGTGACTGCTTGGACCATGCTGCTCTTACCCGACCTCTCTGTGGTCGCTCTGCTTCCATGAGGATTAACCTGGGCTTTCCATGCCCTGATGCCTCCACATCTTGAATTTACCTGCTCACCAGTCGCTGCTTGAGCCCTTATTGGGAGGGCAGGAGCCATCCTTTCGCTTTGCTTGTGTCCCCCACTCCCCCCACCCTCTGCACCTCCCTCCATCAAAGCAACCAGAGATAGCAGGCTATGGCTTTGCTTTTAAGTTGAATCTCTGCAGCTGAAATAAAATTGCATATATTTGCATAAGGAGCATCTCAATTAGCATATTTGTGGGTAAAGCTAAAAGGGCTGTTCATTTGGAAGTGAAAATGTGAGCGAAACATGGAAATGACTTCCAGCCCCCTTTGCAAGCAGCTTAATTAAATATTTCCTTAGTGTGTGCGCATGGATTTGGGAAGCTCTTGCTGTATATGTAATGGTGTGTGAAACCCCAGGGCGGGCAGGGAGCAGTGGCCCTGCAAAGCCCCGGGTGTGTGTTTGCACCCTGTGCTGCGTGCTGCTGCGGCCCCCTCGTGCACCGTCCCCACACCTCCAAAGTGAGAAGTCTGCTGGAGGGCGAGGGATTCGGCATGCCAGGCCCTGCCGCCCTCTCAGGGAAGGCTGTCTTTCTGCCACCTCGCACGGTGATGCTGTGTTTTCCCCGTCATTTCCTGGGGGGGTAGAGGCAGAGAGGGAGCTGTGATTTAGGAGTGGGATCAGGCTGGGCAAGGCTGCCTGCCTCCTGACAGAGCTGTGTTCAGGGGAAGATCCTGCCTTTGTTTAAATATAATTGCTTTGGGCCCGATCCTGTTCATGCTTGGATCAGTGACAGCAGGTATGAGCCTTCTAGGGAGAAAAATAGTGCTGCTGCCTTTTTTTTTTTTTTTTCCTCCTTTTTTTTTTTTTTTTTTTTTTGAAGCCAGGCTCATTATTTTTCTTGCCTTTGAGCTTATGCCTCAGCAGCTCTCCTGTCTCCTCCTCAGGAGGGCAGCTTGGGCTGCACGGGGCATGCCTGGTTCAGACCTGCCCTGTGAAGGCTCGCTGCATTAATGTGGGACCTTGCTGCTGCTCCGGGACAGTGTGATGGCGAGGGCTCAGCCCTTTCCTTTCACACAGGGGTGAGGGCCCCAAAAGCCGCCCTCAGGCTGTGGGGGTCCGTGGGATCCCCTGTGCTTGCAAATAGGGAATGCCTCATGGTGCTGGGAGGGGTGTGCTTTTTGGGGGGGGCAAGAGGCATCAGGTCTCTGGGGCTTGTTTCTTTGGTAAGAGGGGTGCAGAACAGAGCATGGGGCTCCCAACATTGCTGGGTGCCTGAGCGCATCCCCCAGGAGAGGCGGGGAGAGGGGGGATGCGCGATCCCACCGCACAAAGAGCCGGGAGAGGAGGGTGGGGAGAGAGACTGAAATGTCTTGGGCTGGAGGGAGGGGGTGGAAGTACACACACACGCACACACACACACGCACGCGCGGCTGCGGAGGGCTGGGGCCGAGGGAGGGGGTCACACACAACCTATTGTGAGCGGCTGAAAGGCGCTACAGTCCCGAAATGTTAATCTGACCCAACCGTTCGCCAGTTATAATTTTCCTCTCAATGAGCGTGCATTAATCTGGCCCTTTCTCCCCCGTTCCCCCGCGGTGCAGAGCTCTTGTTCTGCTGCCTCTTGCTAAAATCGCCTTTCAGCGAACCCAAATAAAGCTCCCAAAGTCTGGAGCTCAGTCCCCGCCCAGGAGCGGGGAGGGCAGGGTCAGTTTGCCAAGCGGAGGAGGGAGCGTGGCTGCACCAGCCGGGGCACGAACCCTGCGGTGCTGGAAAGGCCCTTTCCCCTCACCCTGCCACGGGCACAGCCCGGGGGTGCGGGGCATGCAGGCATGCCCCCTCCCAGCCTGCCAGCGCTCAGCCCACGTCCCACACACGGGGGTCCTTGCCACCCAGACATATGGGATCCCCTATGGATGCTGTCCTGCTGAAGCACCCCAAAAAGTGCCCCAGTGGATCCGTTGCCCTGACGCTGCCCTCTTCACTCTCTCCACAGCTGCCTGTCCTGCGTGAACGGCTCCTTCCCCTGCCACTGGTGCAAGTACCGCCACATCTGCACCCACAACGCCGCCGACTGCTCCTTCCTGGAGGGACGCGTCAAGCTCTCCGAGGTAAGGTGATGCGAGCCAGCTTCCTTCTCCTGTCCTGATGCTGTCGTGGTCCCGTGCCCTATGGGGGAGTGTTTAGAAAAGGGAAAACTGCTTTGGAAACCTCTCCGGCTGCCTGGGAAGCAGTGAGGGAGGAGTGGGAAGTGCTGCTGGGACCGTGTGTTGGTGGGAAGAGGCTGCTTGGGAAGCCAAGTGCACTTTAGGCTGAATGAAGGGAATAACAAAGGCAGATACGCTAAAGCATTTCTCTTTTGATGTTTTTGAAGGGAGCAAGCTTGAACTGTCATTGCAGAACACCTTGTTTTCAGAGAGGGGAAGGTTGAAATCTGCAAAACAAACTGTTTAGCTCTACCTCATGCCTTCTTCATCTCAAATGCTTTTCTAAGAAACATGTTATTTTGTGGGGGTTCATCCTGCGCAGTATCTGTGCCACCCACCGGGGAAACCTGCCACTGGCAGGGTGCTTGCAGGAGGTCCTGGTGTCCCCAGCCTGTGGTGGCATTGCTGGCTGCTGGATTTGGGTCTGAACATCTGGCAGGCAACCGCTGGCTCTACAGTAAATGCTGATTCGGGTCCTGAAGGGAGAGTTTTGGGATGGGGAGTTTTTCCTTTGTCCCTGTCCTGAAAAGGGGCTCCAGTTGAACTGACTCGGGTTTCCAGTTGCCTGTTCAGGGGCCCAGTGGGAAGTGTCCTCCTGCCTGATGGTTGCTGCTGGGAGCAAAGCCACGCACTGTTCTTATGGGAATGGCTCAAATTGATGTTGTCCTGGAGAAAGCGTTTGCCCAGATCATTTCAGATGAAGTTCTGTCTCTGAGCTCTGGCAGAGCTCACATCCCAGCAGCCTTCCAGGCCAGGACTGGTCCCCAGGAGCAGAGGCGAACAAGAAGGGCTTGTCTTCACTTCACAGATCATGTGTGAAGGCAAGCAACCAGGATGTCCCCCAAGGTTTCTGATGTCCTGGCTGGCACTGAGAGGAAACCTGCCTCTGCACGTCCCCACTCAGGAGGAGCAGTGTCTCTGAGTTAATCTCCATCCCCTATAACTCTGAGGTCTGACCTCATCCTTGGTGGGAACTGGTGGGCTTGTGGGTTTTCTAGATCAGGGCTGTTGTCCTCGCTGTGTCCCCCTGCTTCTGTGCTGGGCTGGGAGCATGCGTGGAGTCAGATAAATCCCACTGCAACTGAGATGTCACATTTAATTTTTTTCCTCTTCCTCCCTCATCACTCTAAGAGGTCTCTCACAGGGGAGAATGGGAGAGCTGGACCATTACCCAACAATTGCCCAGCCACTAGCAGCACCATTGCTTTTGTGCCAGGGATGGGATGGGTGGAGGAGCATCTTCCCATGTACTGGGACTGAGCCCCCTGTATGGCTTCCCTGCTCCCTTGGGGCAGGTTGACCTTGGCTGGATGCTGGGTGCCCCCCTAACCAACTTGGTGGGCACCCAGTGTCCAGCCAAGCTCAACCCACCACATCCCTGTGGAAAGCCAGAGTGCCTGGTCCTGCTGCCTCTCCTAGGGGAGCTGCTGTGTCTATGGGGTAACATTTGGGCTTTGCAGCCTGCAAAGAGAACTGCTGGGGTCTCATACTTGGGTGCTCCCCAGTTTGGACCCTCCAAGGACGTGAGGAGTGGATGGACTTGCAGAAGATGGTGGTGTCCCTGCACAGGGCTGTGCTGGGTTCTTGTTGTGATCCTTACTCCGAGCGTGGAGCTGAGTGAAGCTGCCTCTCAGCCAAGTGCATCAAGAAACCTGGAAAATCCCATCCATCGCTCCCGCGCGTGGGCAGGCGGGGTTGGTGCTTGCCATTTCTGCAAGGCAGCAGGCAAGCTCTGGGAACGAGACTCCGCTTGTCAAACAGCCCCTCCTTGCCCCCGTGCTGCTGGTGAGCGTGCAGCTGCCTGGGCCGTGCCGTGGCCCCTCCGCCAGCCTCGCGGACGGCACGGCCACGGCTTTGCACCGTGCCTCCCACCACACAGCCAAACTCCAGGCTCTGACACCGTCCCTCACCTCCCTGGAGGTATCATCCAAGTGCAAGGGGCTTGCACTGTGTTCATGTGTGCTGGAGAGTGTCTGGCATGGGCCAGAAGGAGCCCAGCCTGGTGGCCTCGCGCAAGGTGGGATTTGGTAATGTGAGAAGATCAGAAAAAGCTGTTTTCTCCTTGCTTGTGCCCTGAAGAAATCTGGCGAGGAATTGGCTTGTCCCAGGCATCCCAGAAGCCTGCTCTTGAGGTTGTGCTTCCAGCCAGCCCTGGCGTTGCTTCTGCAAACACGATGCGTGGTGTCCAGACCGCTGGAGCCCGGCGGCTCTCGTCTGCCCATTCCCCTCGCTGAGGGCATGGTGGGGCTGCTGGGCTCTTCCCCCTTCCCTGCCAGGAGAACCCAAAACCATCTGGCTGTACCCTCCAAGGGGTGTTGTCTCTGGGAGGCATGCAGCTCTCCCATGGACCGGCTGCTTGGGAGCTCGTGTCACTCCTGAGCACGGGCAGGCTGTCCCCCAGCAGACCTTTTGGCCGCAGTGGAACCTGGAGCGGTGCCCGGCTTGAGGTTTGGAGCGCCTGGCTCAGCCTGTTTGCACGTTGGTGTGGCCTCAGCAGTTCCCGGCGGGGATGGTGAGACACCCTCAGACTGGCTGCTGCTGTGGGCTGTGTGTCCGGCCTGGGATGAGACATCCCGTCCCCATTGCTGGCCATCCCAGTCCCGAGCCAGGTGGTGTGGTGGGTGGGGGGACTCGGTGCTGGCCTGTGGCACCGCTGGATGAATTAATGGTAGATGTCCAGCCCCATCCTCTCTGTGGGAGGATGTCTTAACTGGAGGGTTATTTTAAGCAGAATTTAGTCTGTCTATGTTGGCTGGAGTGTGGTGGGCACTGGTCAGGAGGGGCAGGGACTCAGGTTAACAGCAGCACTTAACTCCATCTCTGCTGGGTCGCACAGGTGGTTCACCATGGTCTTCAGGATGGAAAAGTGGCTGTTTTGTAGGAGAATGTCCTGGGCATTCTGGGGATGTTCACTTGGATTTCTGGCAGTGGCAGGGCAGGAACAGGGCGTGGGTAGGAGCCACCACTCACGTAACTGTGCCTGGGAACAGCAGCAGCAGGAAGGATGTCCCTGCCCGCTGGCTGCGGTGGCTTTGAAGCCTGGGCTCCGGAGATTGCCCTCCTCTGTGGCTTGCTCTGGAGTGCAGGGCTGGGGAAGGGGTGATGAAGCAACACAGGCTGCTTGCTTTTCCCCACTTGTGGTGCCCAGTGGTGGCTGCAGGGTGATCAGTGATGGACGCTGGAGTCTCCCATCCCAAAAAGCTGCTCTCCTGCGGTGGTCCCGGTCCCTGCTGCTGCAGAGCTGCTGCAGAGGGTGGAAGGCTCCTGGCCTGTGGAGACCAAGTGTGTTGGTTCAATCTAAGCAGGTTCAGCTTGTATTTGTTCTTCAGTCCCGACCAGTGGGAGTGGCTGAGGATTTTGTGACGGACCCTCAAACCGGGGTCAAGCCCAGCCTCGGACTGCCTTCATCCCCATCTCTGCTGATGGCACAGCCTTGGAGCTGGAGCTGGGAGCTGCCATAAAAACCCAAACCACGGCATTTGCAGCGTGACTAAAGCTCTTACCTCTCCAAGCAAACCTGGACACCCTTGTCATACTCTCATTCAGCTAGAAAAACAGTTTTAATGAAGAAAATCCGAGTTGTGCGATGTTTAGGAATGTGTGTGTGTTGGCGGTCTTGCTTTTCGGCTCATCCCATCCCTTTGTAGCTCCCTGCTCCTGGGAGCCGGGACTCTGCCGGGGCGGGGGGGGTGGGGCTGGTTTTGGAATGACAGCTCAGTGGGCTGTGCAGAGCATTCCCAAGGGATGCAAGTGCTGGCCGACGCTGGGGGGAGATTTGTCAGCAGTTAGAATTGCTCATAGGGGAAATGTGTTGTCCCAGTGCCCCCACCCCTCCGGGCACCCTGGGCGCCCACCAGCACCAGGTGCTTCCTGTTTGGGCGCAGGCTGACATTTTTGCTGGATGAGACACTTCTGCCGGCAGATGCGGAACATGTGACGTCGTCGCGGGGGGACTCGGCTCAAACCTCGAGTCAGCAAAACGAGCCGGCCTGCCTGCGCGGGGAGAGGGACGCACAGACCCGCCGCGCTTTCCAGACACTGGTTTTGTGAGCATCCCTAGTGAGCCTCACCCGCCGCCCCAGCCAGTTTGGCAGTGATAATTACAGAGAAATGAGGAGGTGGAGGTGTGCTGGAGAACGAGCCAGGAGCTAGTCCTTGCTGTGTGCATGCCCTGCGAGGAAGGCATGTGCCACCCGTGGGGTCCCCCTGCAATGCGGAGGGGAATCAAGCAGGCGGGGACTTCTCCCTCCGTCAGCACTTCTGAGCCAGGAGCTGGTGGGGAGCAACTGCCTTGCAACGGTGGGGGCCACTCATTATAAATGGCAGCGAGCATGTGGGATCTCCCTGCTGTGAGCCTCCAGCTGATTCTGAAAGGGGGAGCAACTGAAGCCCCACTTTGCAGAGGGCAGCTGTGGTACAGAGCAGGGAGGTGGCAGAGCAGCACCGAGGGTCCCCAAACTGTCCCAGCCCTGTCACCATCTCCAGGTTGGGGCTGGCACTGCTGTTCCTCTCTGCTGTCATTTTGTTCAGCAATTCTGTTTTGGGGATAAATAGTTTCTTCCCTTAAAAATTGTGCTTTTGGGGAATACAGGCTTGTAAAGGACAGGAAACGTAGAGTAAAATGAGTTGGGGTTTTCTGTCAATATTTGCTAAATGAAACAATTTCTTCTTCATTTCTTTACATGGTTTGAAAGTTAGATTAATCCTAAAGCCTGGCGCCGTGCGGGGTCCATCCTGGCTCATGGCAGGAGGCAGCTGGGCAGCGTTGGCCGTGCGTGGCTGCCGGTGGCTTTGTGGTGAGAGCTGCCCCCGCAGCCGTGCCGCGGCCTTCGGCAGCCTTGCGAGAGCAGCGGTGCGGCTCTGTCCACCCCCAGCGCTGCTGCTGCTGCTGTTACTGTTTTCGGAGCAGCTTGATTCAGCACATGTTATTCCCCCTTGACGTTATTTCAAGCCGACACTACCAGGAGTCGTTACTGTAGGTGCGAGACCTGCACCCGGCTCGGCAAAGCCAGCGTGGGATTGCATCAGGCTGCTGTTGCCGAAGCAGCACCCACCGGGGCTGTGGAGCTGTTTTGCTGCCTGAGCTCATTTATTTTTGTACCCTCCTGCTCCCCTGTGCTTTGCACGCAAGGCTCACTGGCTCCCCCAGAGCAGCTGGGAGCCCATGGCTTTTAAAAGTTGAGTGCTTTGCCCTCCCGACGGCTCTTTCCCTGGGGAGCACGGGAGGCTGACAGGGTGGTGCTGAGCCCCTCTTCCTTGCTTTCCTCCCCAGCTTGGACTCAGCAGCATCCCCTGGCAAGAGGCACTGTCTTCTGGGCAGCAGCAGCAAAATTCCCTGCAGGGCAGGTTCTCTGCAATACTGCAGAAGCACATTGCAGTGTCAAAGGGAGAAAAGGCTTTTCTGTCCACTTGTGAAGGAAGAGGGATGGAGGCTTTCAGGGAAACAGGATGGCTGAGAGGGTAGCCTGACAATGCACAGTGGGCGTTGACTCTGAAACCTACTGACTGCAGTGGTGGCACTAAAGCCCATCTCTTTATCAGCCATTTCATGCAAACGTGTGCTGCTGTCGCACTGCCAGCTTGCAGGCCCCATAGCTGAATCCTTTTCCCCACCTCCGGCCTGGATCAACCTGAGATGTGGAAAACATTCCCTGCCCCGCCACCAGATTCCTCTGTGGTCTCCTTTTCTGTCTTCAGGGCTTTGGTCAGAGCATCCATGAGATGCTGGTTTGGGGTTGACTGCACATAAGGATTTACTTCAGTGTGTGCTCAGGGTGGTGTTTTCACAGGACATTGCCCAGCCTCCCAGCCAAGAGAGGGTGATGGGGGTGCTGGGGGAGGCTGTATGGCATTTCCCTCTCATCGTCTGCCCCTTGTTCCCCTTACAGGACTGCCCCCAGATCCTGCCCTCCACCCAGATCTACATCCCTGTGGGCGTGGTGAAACCCATCACCCTGACGGCCAAGAACCTGCCCCAGCCACAGTCCGGCCAGCGCAACTACGAGTGCATCTTCCACATCCCGGGCAGCACCACCCGCGTCACCGCCCTGCGCTTCAACAGCACCAGCATCCAGTGCCAGAACACCTCGGTGAGTGGGCGGCTCGCCTCGGCACGGGCTTTGTTTGCGGGCTGCTCGTTCCTGCCCTGCCTCGGGACCTTCCCGCCTCGTTGCATGGCCAGGTTTGCTCTCCCGTGGACAGGTAACGGGGGTTTCTGGTGCCTGTGGGGTGCAAGGTGGGCTCCCGCTTCCCCCAGGTGCATGGGGGAGCTGCTGTTTGGGGTTGTTCCGGATAGGATCAGCGCCGGAGCCACCCCAGGGGACCTGCCAGGCTTTAGGAGCGCTTCTAAGGCTTTGGAAAGCTGAAGGAAGTTGCCTGGGCTGGAGCCAGCTGGCCCGGACGTGCCGGAGCCTTGCCTCCCCCTTCTCTCTGCCTGCTCTTGCTTCCCCCTGACACCAAGCCATCCCACTTTACAGGCGGAACGGAGCTAACACCATCTCTGTGTCCTGCTGCACACACGCTCTCTGGTGTGCAGCCATGCCTGCCAGCCCTGCAGGCTCTTCCCCTCCTCCCCTGCAGCCCCTGTCCGTCCCCTGCAGCCCCTGCCCATCCCCAGCTCTGACTGGCAGCTACCTCATCCCCCTGCCTGCCCTCCATCCTGGCCTTGCAAGTGCATTGCTCCCTCCTTCTCTGTCCTTGTTCCCTACAGCTCTGTCACTTAAGCTCTCTCCTGCAGGCAGCTCTGCCCTCTCTGGTTGCCTTGCCCCTAAGCAAGAGGGTGTTTTGTGGCCCCTCGGTGAGCTGTGTGTGTGCCCCTTGCCGTGCAGCAATCCTGTGCAGGGAGCACCAAACCCATGAGCAAATGTACCCAGGGTGTTTATAGCCCTGCTGGGAGCCAGCGTGGCTCAGCTCCTCAGCTGCCTCGCTGGGCTCTACACAGACCTGCCCTCATCTGCATGGAGCTGGCCCCTCCTGTCTCCCTCCCATTTAATCCTTTTAAAATTTGTTTTCCATCACTCACGCTGAAAGCTCATTTGCAGCCTAACACCACTGCTGATCCCTACTCCCTTGTCCTTTGGTGGCACGAGTGACATTTAGAGGCCATTGAAGATAAGCCTTGGCTCCCTCCCTCCTTCGGCGCTCCTGGGGCTGTGGAGGAGCAGTAATGCTCCCCATCCTGAGCTGCCGACTGGAAATGTTGTCAGTGGGTCTGTGCTTGGCCTGGAGGCGAACGCAGGCAGTGGCACAAAGTGCAAGCTCAAGGGAGCAGCAGGACCAGGGCAGTGTCTGGAGGGTTCTGCTGCAAGAACCTGTTAGCGAGGCAGCTTGAGCTGAGGTTTGTCATCTTGCTTCTGCGTTCGGGGGAGAAAAGGAGCCAGGCGGAGTGCTGCCCATTGGAGCTGGCTTGGCTGCTGGTCCCTGGTATTGATTGTGACCCTCACCAGGGCTTTGTCACACAGATCTGCCCCCAGACCCAGTCTTGCCTGTGGCCTGTATGGCTCAGTGTTAGTGCTTTAAGGGGAATGTGATGGATGTGTGTGTGAAAAGACACCATGGTCGTGGGGGTCCCTTCGCTGGGGTCTTGTTGCTCCTGGTAGCCAAACTTGATGCTGCTCTGTCTCCATCACAGCCATGTGGGAGGTTTCTTGGGGGTCAGCCAAGCTACTCTTGTCCCAGCAGAAGGCTGGTTACGTCGGGTACCTGCTTGGTTGTCTGAGGGCTGTTCTTCAGCGCGTCCATGCCTGGCCCCACTGCCGGGTTGCGTGCAGCTGGAAATGGGCTGGAGAAACCATTGCCCTGTTGCAGCGTGGGAGAAATGCAGCCTCTTTGTCCCAAAGAGAGAGCCTAGCCTGCAGGGACCCCGGCCGGGCACGGTGCTGCATCAGCACCTGGGATCTGAAACTGTGTCTGCCGGGGGCGTGGGAAGTCCTTGGGGGAAGCAGATGTTGGCTCGCAGACCTTCATCCCTCACGGTGATTTTCTGGTCCCCAGCTTTGTGGGGACACCCTGTGAGCCCCTGCCTGGCCAGAGCCCCTTGACCAGCCCAGCCTCCTGCCAGGTCTCCTTTGCCTGCAGCAAGCAGAGCTGGCAGCTCCCTCTTGCCCAGTTCTTTAGTGTGCAGTTTGGCTTAGTTCATTCAGAAGCAGTTTGGGACAGTGTGTGCTGCAGGATGCTCTCTGTAGAGAAGTGCCGCGGCTGCACAGCATTGGGGTGTTGGGGGAGAGGTGCCTGCACCAGAGCAGAGCCTTTACCTAACAGAGGTGGGGCTTGGAGAGGGGATCTGAATCTTTTGGACTCGTTTCTCCCCGGTAAGTTTGAGTTTGCAAGGCAGGAGGGAGAGGCAGAAGCAAATTCCACTGCCTTTCCCAAAGGGTGGCGTGGCTATCGGCACCAGTGTCACGAGTTTCACGGCCTCTGCAGCTTTTCTCCAAAGGGGTAGGACAGCTTGAGGTGTGCCTGCCTGCCCCGTGGTCCCCACAAAGAGCTGAGGTGACCGACATCTTCTCCTGGGCTGACAGTGATGGATGTTTGACCTGAAAATTGCCAGGGATACCCTGAAAACAAAGCAAATTGTCTGGAGAGTGCATGGGATGCACTGTGGGCTGTGTGGGCGCAGGAACGGGCAGCAGCAGCTCCGCAGGGTCGTGGTCGCAGGCAAGAGACCTGGCTTTCAGGCGCAGGGTGGCTTCGCAGACGGAAGAAGAGTTTTGGCTTGAAAGAAGCTGTCTTGCTTTCAGGGTCTGCTCGCCTGCTTTAATGTTTGAGGGCATTTAGCCAGGCTGCTTTATGGTGTGGGGGATTCAGATTCACACTTCTGTGATGCTTGTCTCCTCCCTGTCTTTTTTTGCGGTCCATCTGGCTGGTTGATAGCACTTCAGGCTCCTGCGCAGTTCCCCACCCATGACCCGCTGGGTTTTTCCGTTGCAATTCATCCTTTGGGTTAGGATTTTGGGTTTTGTCTCCTGGTGTGGATGACACTGGGGAGTGGAGGAATAGGGGAAGGATGACATCCTCCCAGCCAGCAAGTGAGGAATGGATGTCCTCTCCCCCGGAAGGCATTTAAGCACACTTTTTGTTTCCAGGAGTTCAATGGGATCTAAACAAGAGGTTAATTACTCTGTGGAATTAGGGATGCTTTCCTGAATCATGGATGAATGGAAGGGATAATAAGTCAAGCCTGCTTAAAACGATTTGTCTTTTGTTTAGTTTTAGTGCTTGTCAAACTCCAATGACTTGTTAGCACTTTGAAGAAAGGACATCTTGGTTAAATATTCAGCAGTCTATTCATTAAGGTTTGATTGTGACTATAAACATCATTTGAGACACCCAATAGATCTTCAGCAAACTCAAGGGAGACCAGGCCTGGTGTTCCCCACGTATCCCAGGGCAAAAAGCAAGCAGGAAAAACCCTTTTCTGCCTCCTCACTTTGGTCTCTTTCTGCTCTTCAAAAGGAAAGCAACCCTAAAGGTTTTCCACATGCCTTGTTAAAGAAGCAAAAAGGAAAGACAAGCCTAACAAAGAAAATGGTATTCTTGGCCAGTAAACTATTTTTTTTTTTTGTTAATTGGTTGCTTTTAATCTTCTGGAGGCAGACATTTCCAGGCTTTCTTCTTGCAGCAGAGGATGGAGAGATGGTTACCTGTCTTAATGTGTGCAGGTAATGCCACTGAGTTGCGTTTTTCAGACATCCCTGCCTTTGCCATCTGCCATCCCTCAGCGGAGCTCATCCTTCTGATTGCTGCAAAAAATAGACAGTTTTGTTGTTGGAAAGTACCACAGTCCCATATCTGCAGTACTGCTTGTAACATTTGACTTTGTCCGATTTGGTCCTGGCCTTGGCAAAATGGTTACAGTTATTTCTCACTGACAAGGGTTTGGCTTTTTCTCTCCAGACTGTTACTCTTAAGGCTGAAATAGCCCCAGAACTGCTCTTTCCCTTTAAATGTAAAAATAGGAAGAACCCCTGATCTCCTTTCCACGCACATTTGAGTTTGTCATCTCAGCACTTTAAATTAAGCCTCATGCCTCAATTATTTCCCTTTCTTTTTAACCAAAGCCCCGCGTGGCGATGAGCAGCTGTGTCACCTTCCTGGCTCCCTTTCGGCTCCGTCCTCGCCGATTCCCCTGGCACGGACAGCCCCCTCCTCCCCACTCGTTTTGGCTGCGGCTCTGGAGGTCGCTCCCCTCCGGCCAGGTTCAGGTCGGGATGTTCACCCAGGAGCAGTTTATTCCCGTAACAAAGTGATGTGGGTGCAGAGCAGCTGAGCTGGCTGGGTGGGCGTGCAAGTGGTACCCAGCGTGGATGCTGAGGCTGGGGTGCCCAGCCCCAGGCGTGGTTGCTGAGAAGGCAGACAAGACCTAGTGGATTTACATTTTCTGGGTATTTTTTCATTGCAGTGGAGCCTGGGTGTTGCTCTGACATATTCCCAGGGTCTCGGGTTCTCACTTACACCCTGCCAAATTTCGGGCAGGAGGAATTCAGGCGAAGAAGCTTGTGTGCGATGGGGGAGGAAAGGAGATTTATGTGAAAAGAGCAAAAGGAGATCCAGAATCAGAGGCCAAGTGTTACCGTCAAGTTGTGCTGTTGTGTGGATGACGGTATTTTACTAGGCCTGGGGTGTATTTATAGAGGAACATAAATCATACACACATGCCCTGTTCTGAGCGCCGCACACCTCCAGTATATGTATCTCTAATTAACCAGCCATGGAGAGGGAAATCGGGATTGGAGCCCACAACCCCAGCACCGTTCGCCAACAAAGCCGTGCTCTCCATGCTAGTGGTGCCTACATTTATCTTTCCTGCAGCAGTGTTTAAAGTGAAAAGGGAGTATCAGGAGAGTTTGATAGGATCCAATTAAATTCCAGCAGATAAAATAATGATGAATTGCAGTTGAGCCCTGGCGAGACGCGATGTACATTACTGCTGTCCCCGTAGTGCGGGGAAGGAGTTGAGGTCATCAACTACAGAAAAATAGGACACAGCTGCAGCCCAAGCGCTCCTCCAGAAATGCAGCCCTGGGGGATAGTGTGTGTGGGAGGGGGGTTGCAGGGGAAGTTTGAATATGTGGGTTTGATGGCAGAGGGCAGAGGAGCAGCCCCTCGCTGTCTTCCGCGGGGCTAGGTTGTGCAAGCTGTGGCTGGAGTGGGATGGATGCCCTGTGGCAAGGGTTGTGATGGCTGTGGGGCATTGTCTGGGCTGGAAAGGGCTAGCGCCTTGGCTAGTTGGCATGGTGCTTGCAGGAGCATCCCAAAGTGCATCTCAGTGTGATCTGTGCCCAGATTTGGGGTGCCCCCTCACTGGCTGTGGCTTTGTCCCCTGGGAGTGCAGCTCCCTGGAGGCATCTTCCTGGAGTTCTGGATCCCTCACCCCAAGGGGAGCTGGGTGGCTCTTGGTGCCCGTTGCTGCTAGCTGGTGGGTGAGCACTGGGCTTGCTGGAACCAAAAGTGAGACCTTCAGGGGAGGTGGCACCCACAGCTCTTGCAGCGTGTTGGGCTGGTGGGCATCCCCCACATGGGAACAGAGCTGGTGTGAGAATTGGAGACTTAGAAGTGCATGAGGTTGTTGGCTGTTACTTGGGAAGGTGCCTGAGATAGATTTTTGGGTGAAGAACATTGAGAAAGTCTTAGCAAGGAGTTATCTTCCCTGAACCACATCCCTGCAGAATGAGACCTTGCTAGGAATAGCTGTATCCAGGTTGGAGGGGCTGGTGTGTCCTCGGTCAGCCCTTCCATGCTTGACTTGTAGGCTCTTCTAGAGAGGAACTGAAAGGCTGGTTGGTTTAGGTAAGGAGCCAAGCAGCTCACATCTTTGTTGCTGATTTACTCGATTACGTCGTTTCTCCCATCCCCTTCTGTGGACCATCCCCAGGTGAGAATGTTTCTCTTTTGGGTGCCGTTGGTTTGCTCTCAGGGCTGTGCCTGTCGTTTTTTGCTCCCATAGCAAATGTCCTTTTCTCGTAATTTGGCCTCAGTGCCGTATCATCCTTTGGCACAGCCCAGGGTGTCCCGGGTGCCTTTGTAGAGTGAGGGGTGATCTGATAGCAGGACTGCCTGGGTGTCCGGCATCCCCCTACTCACACCCGCCCTGGCCTCCCCTCCCGTGGCTCATCCCAGATCCCTGCCAGCCAGAGTGATTGATTAACCAGGAAGTTAATATCAGTTAAGTGTTTAGTGGACGTTTAGCACCGTGTTAGCTAGAAGCAGGGAGGAGCCAGAGTGATGGGACCTGCTGACTGTCCATGGGATGGACAGATTGGTAAGCATCTCCCCCCAGATCCCCACCGGTTGTGGGACCTTCAGGGCTGGAAAGTGGCTGCTGCTTTGCTCTGCTGCTGCCGCCTGCCTGGCTGTGGCTGTGCCCGTGGCGGGAGAGGGCAGCTTCCTGCCTGTGCTACAGCCAGAGCAGCTCCAAGGGGGCCTTTCCAAAATGTCCTTCAAAATAAGAGGTGCTTGGGAAGTTAGAGGGTGATCTGATGGACCTTGCCATCCCAGGAGGCTGAGCCCTGAGCCCCTGCTGCTGCAGCTCCTGCCCGCACGTGGCTGAGCCATGGCTTCTGCTCCAGCATCCTACAGGGACCAGTAACCCCATCCCAGCCACAGGCCAGCTGCCCATCTCTGCAGGGCAAGTGAGGGGTTGCTGGTGGACACGCAGATGCCAAAGACACGTTTTTCATTGATATTCGTGTTCCCTTGGTGTTCCCACACCACGAACACCAGCCGGGGCGATGACTCCTGCTCCTGCCTGCTGCTTCCCTCCACACAGTCCTGCGCTCCCAGCTGCTCCCCGCTGCCCACTCCAGCTCCGCGCCACCGCAGATTCAGCATCCTCAGCACGGTGTCCTTTCCCAGAGGGACATTGTCTCTTGTGCAGTTCTCAGGGCTGGCGCATGAAGAGTTAATGCTCTCCCTCCCTCTCTCCCTATTCTTCTTCCTCCAGCCCACCTCCCAGAAGAACTAATTTCCAAAAGCAGCCGGGGCAGAGAGATGCAAATAAGTGTTTTGGACAGCTGCAGGCTGGATGCCTTCCCGAGATGCCAGGGCCCCAAATGAGACATGTCAGAGTACAAATTGAAAATGCCAATTTCACTTACGCTGCCACGTGGCTCGTCACAGCTAAATTCTGCTCCGGAGCTGCCACTTCCCTCCCAGCACGTGCTCCCTCCTGGTGCCAGGGGATGGTCTCTGCTTGCTGCTGCGGGTCTGGTCAGCTCCTCCTCACCATTGTCCTGTTGGAGATGTCCTTGGGTGGGTGTAGGGTAGGGGAAGCTGAATGGATCTGGACTCCCAGCCCAGTTCAGGCTTCATCTTCCCAGGCCTGGTGACAGAAGTGTTGCTCTGCTTGCAGATGGTGCATGGTGGAGATGTCCTCTGAGCAAACACCGTGAGAGCTTCTGTGTCTGAGAGGCTCTGCATGGTGGGGGGTGATGGGGCTCATTTTTTATGGTGGAGATGGTGGTGGAGATGTTGGGCACTCAAGAAAGGGTTGAGTTTGCAGTTGAATGTCTTATGCTTTATAGCTGCTGCGTACGGTTGATCAGCAGCAGCCTTCCTCCCCAGGGAGGGCTGTGTTTTGGGGTCCTCCACCCTGTGTTTGGTGGGGTGGTCCCTGGACATAAGACCACTAACTGAAAGCAGTGGAGGTGTAACCGAGAACCAGGCTTGGCCTCCCATTTGCACCTTGTAGGGGTGAGGCAGGAGTGCGTTGCTGTGGCCATGTCTGACATCAGGTGTGCACCCCGTTTTGGTGCTGTGTCTGATGCTGGACTGTGGCTGGCGATGCTGCCTGCTTGGGAGGGACTCAGCATGGAAGGGACCAGTTTGGATGGTGAGGTGAGAAGGACCAAAGCATCTCTTGCTTCCCACACCACCTGGGCACACTGGCTTTCCTTCGTGGGCCACGTCCCTGCCTCTCATGGAGGGGCTCGAGCAGAGCAGACCCGCTGGAGTGGTCCCTGGCCCTGGCAGGGGATGAGTGTGCTCTGTGGGGCAGCAACTGAGGAAGTGCTGGAGAAGATGCTGAGGCCACCTCCTCCAGCTGTGGCACCGGGGCTGCAAAGGGTGACGCTCGGGCTGGCTGGAGGTGGTGACAGGGCTGCAGCCAGCCCGTGGCCGAGTGAGCCACTGCTGGCGCGTCTGCCGCTCCCTAACAAACTCCAGCAACCCATGAATCATTCATTTAATCTCTCCTGACACGCCTGTCATTTTCTCAGGCGAGGAGCAGGGAATCTCTTGCCGAAGGAGGTCATTAGCTGTCAGGGACGGTTCCGACTGCCTTCCTGCCTCTGTATCGATTAAACCTCTCCGCCTGCGTGCAGGGGCTGTGCGGGGAATATTGATGGGGCTGCTGGGACTGGGGCTCGTCTGTTGAGACAGGGGAGAGGGGTTTGGGTGGGGAGGAGGCACTGGCTGGGCTGGAAGGAGCAACAGAAGTGGGTATGTGTGGGCAGCAGTGGTTGCTGGGACATGAGTTTGGGATTCCCTGGAGCTGGGGGGAGGGATCCCCTGGTGTCACCTTCATACATGGGAGCTTAGGGGATCAGGGTGGTGGTGCTGGTCCTGGAGTGGGGTACAGCTGATGGCTGAGCACGGTGTGGGGCTGGGAGCTGGGCAGCTGAGGGTGCGGTGTGGAGGGGAGGGATGCTCTCCCCAGATCTTTCTGAGGGCTGATGTGGTACCAGGCTGGTGCCTGGCTCTGTCCCACCCACGGCTGTGTGGCCACAGCTTTATGTCATTGCGTTATGGGCGTTGGGGCTGGGGGGGACCACGGGGGACATCCTTCCACCGGGTGTTGGGAGCGGCTCTACTGAATCTGCTCCTGCTGTATGCCCAGCCCTCCCTGAGCATCACTAGTAACAAACGCGATCCCAAATGTGATCTCAAACATTTGACTGGGCTTCCCTGGAGTGAGGAGGACATGGGGGAGGGCTTGGGTGCCTGGCAGGGAGAGGTACATGTGTGCTGCAGAGACACCATCTATTTCTTCCTCTCTCAGCAGCAGCAGCTTCAGACCTTTGGGTTAATGGGTTTTGGGCCTATTTAGAAACCCTCTATTTTGTTTATCTTTTTTTGCCAGACCAGCCTACTGGTTTGCGTGTGCTGTGTCTGATGCTTTGACCAGTGGCTGTTAGACCTGTCGGTTCCTAGCCAGCGAGTCTGAGCTAGGCCCCCAACCCTCTCCTCTGGGTTGATGAGAGATATCCATGTAACAGGGTTGTACACCTCTCTGTGCCCCTCACTGGTGTGTTTTGCCTCAACGATTCATGGGCTCTGCCTCCTTCTGTCTCCTCCTGCAGTATTTCTACGAAGGGAATGACATCAGCGACCTACCAGTCAACTTATCCGTGGTCTGGAATGGGAACTTTGTCATCGACAATCCCCAGAACATCCAGGGTGAGTGAGGGACAGGTCTGGGGTGGGAAAGCAGCCTGGTTCCCCCCCTCAGCCTCCAGCCCACCCCTCTCCACCACCACGACCGCAGTTTGCACCAGTGCCTTGGGGGAGTGAGCGATGCTCCAGCCGCAGCGGTCAGGCGGGTTTCTAAGCAAGAGGCTTTTCTCCAAGAAGCTTTGGGAGAAAGCCCAGAGCTCTGCCTTGGCATTGAGTCCAGGGTGCTGGTGCCTCCTGCCCATGGGGGTTTGTCCCCCCGGGAGCTGGTGGCATGCACGCAGCGGATAGGGGTGAGAGCGGGTGCCCTTCTCCCCAAAAACCCTGTGCTCCTGGGCTGGGGGGGGGGGGGGGGGGCCGTGCTGACCCCCGCACTCCTCCTGCCATTGCAGCCCACCTGTACAAGTGCTCGGCCCTGCGGGAGAGCTGCGGTCTGTGCCTCAAGGCCGACCCGCGCTTCGAGTGCGGCTGGTGCGTGTCGGAGAAGCGCTGCTCACTGCGGCAGCACTGCCTGGCCTACGAGAGCAGCTGGATGCACGCCAGCAGCGGCAACAGCCGCTGCACCGACCCCAAGATCACCAAGGTACGCGGGGACAGACGGGAGGTGATGCCCCATGCTGGGGGACTGCGGTGGGAGATGGAAGATGGGGTGGGGCTCTCCGGTGGCACCTCACAGCAGCCACATCCACTTGGTGTTTAGGGCTGAGCATCTCTCGTTGCCACTTTCATTTCCAAGGCTAAAATACTCTTTCCACCAGCCCCGTGTACTGGGGTTTCTGGCCCATCTCTGAGATTCCCACCGCTCCTGCATGTGACTGGAGGATCCAGGGAAAGCCGTGGCTCGAGGTTGCTCCTCCTCATGTCACCATGCTCACCAGGGCCAGTAGTTAATCATCATCTCCCTTTCCTGACAGCTTTTATGACCTTCATTTAATAAGACTGTGTATATTAATGTTCACCTGCCTGTCAGGCCAGGCTCCGAGTGCACGAGGAGGGACTATTGGTATTTCTGCTGGATGCCTTCTGTTTACCCATGGCTGGCTGGGTCTCACTGGTGTTAATTACTGGAGTCTTAGCACAGGATCTGATCTGTTTGGGTTTCAGTGTCTTATCTGATGGAAGCTGGAAATGAGAGTCGTGCCTTTTCCCCGCACTACCTGGCCTCTCACAGGGTACTGGCGCTGCAGTGGGCTGGGTGACAGCCATGTGGGGAGAGGGGGGTGCCCCCCCACCAGGCACGTCCTTGCCCCTCCCTGTGAGAAGTGCTGCCTGCAGAGAGTTGCCTGGGGCTGGTGGAGTGCTGGCAAGAGAAGGGAGTGGGGTCGAGCCCCAGAGCCTGCATCCCAACTAGTTGATCTGCTGCTGTGTGTGGGACTGCAACGCTCCTCGTCCCAAATACCTTCCTGAACGCCCCAAATCTGGACCCCTGGGGGTGGTGGGAGTGGAGACTGCAGTGGCTGGGTCATGCCCAGGGTGGCCTTGCTGGAGGCTGGTCCCTGTCCTCTTGTGCTCGTGTGGCCAGGGCTGCAGGCATTCACACACACACTGCTCACAGCAGCTGATGGTGTCCTGCCTCAGTAGCAGCTCTCCCACCCTGAATAGTTATGAAATTTTTCAGTAGTTGCAGGTGCAGCAGAAACAGATCTGTTAGCAGGTGGGCTTGACCTTGGTGCTGCTCTGCAGTAGTGCCCTGCACGCTGGCGGTCGGTGTGTCTGTGCACAGCTGCCCGTGTGATGCTCCTCTGGCAGCCTGCTGGTTGCCTGCTTCTTCCCACAACCCCTGCCCTGCGCTCCAGGCTGTGGGCAGGATTGGAAATGGTCCAGAGAGCAGCCTGGTGCAGAGAGGGCATCATGGGGTGGTGGGGGAAACGAGTCTTGTACAGAGATTCCAGGAGGAGCAGAAGCCTCCTTCTTGCCCAGCCTACCGAGGTGCAGGTGTCTTCACAGGTGGTGGGGCTGGGCTGGGAGGTGACCACCCAAGCCCACTCCAAGGTTCTTCACCCTTGGAGTGAAGAATCACTTGCCCATTGCTTGGTGGTGGGGACAGGCTCCCTTCCAAACCTCTGCAGGGTCCTGCCAGGTGCTGTCTGTGACCCTCAGAGCAATATCCCTTCCCCTGGGAAGGGGGAACCCCTTGGCCTTGGCACCTCCTGGCCCTGCTGCAGCCTCCGGAGCTGGAAGCGAGCCTGCTGCTTGCGCCCACTGGAGCCATTTATTTCTTGATGTAGAAGGACCCTGTGAAACCAATTAGCAGAAAACCAGCAGTGTTTGTCAGGGCCAGGGGTTTGGAGGTGGAGGTGGGGAAAGGGGGGACTTGAGAAGCCCCCGTTCTCATCAGCTCCCTCCTTCTGCACACCTTGTTTAGCCATGACCTCCTCACACTGGGTGACCAACAATGTTATTTCATTCCTGGGCTCATTTCTTCCCGAATGCGTGGCCCTTGTCAGCTTTGTCGCAGAGGTGGAGGAATCGAACATGCTGGAGCAGCTTTTAACACTCATTTAGAAACACCAAACAAACAGCCACTTATTGCCAGCCACCCCGGTGGAGCTTGATTTAGGGGGAAGACCCAACCTGATGCTGGCTGCAGCTGCCATAATGAGCTCCAATCCTGGACTTGGGCAGGGGCTGAGCTGGATTTAGGCAAAGAGCAGTTCCTGCAGCCCTGGAGGGTTTTGTTGCTGTGTAAATTGTGAGTTGTGGTGCCTCAGCAGGAGCTGGGGCCCCAGATGCCGGTCCCAGCACTAATGCTGTCCCTTGACATGTCCCAAAGTGGGGGACTGGCTGCCCCCGTTTGATTAGCCGGGTGTGAATCTGGAGGACAGTGGTTAACCCCAGAGGCGATGGCTGTGGTGGGACTGTGCAGAAACAGCCCCTGGCTCCATGTGGCCCCTCGGGGCTGGGGATGTGGAGTATGTCTGCTGCTGCATGTTTCCCACCCTCTGCTCATCCACATTTCCTCACTGCAGGGGTGATGTCCAGGAGTGAGCCCTGTGCGGGGAGGAGGGGGGAAAGGAGGAGGAGGCTCCAGCTGGCTCAGGCCCCAGGGTTGCAGCCGCCCAGATTTGCCAGGAATGCAAAGAGCTCGCACGTGCTTGGTCGCGGCGTGAGCATGGCCGGTGCTGGAGGGGATCTCTGCCAGCGCCGCGGGGGCACGAGCAGAGGAGGGCATCACCTGCAACAAAATGGTCCCTTTTCCTGGGTCAGGGTGCATCTTCCTCCCGGACCAACCCAGCCTGCATTACTCTCTCCCTCGCCTGCTGCCTGCAGCTGCCTTTTCCCCTTCTCTTGTCTCAGTGTCACTGCGGACCCAGCCCTGTCCCTGGTCCCAGCCAGGACGTGCAGCCCTGACATTCATCCCAGTTAGTGCTGCAGGTGGGCACTGGGCCCCGGGGCTGGCAAGTGCTGATGTAAAACTGCCTGTAATTGCCTGGTTGGACACAGCAGTGGGCCCATGCCTCCATTCATCCCTCATTCCACCGCTGTCTGTCAGGCCACACCTGCCCGCTTTATTTGGCATCATTCTGGTAAATGAGGCATATTGCCAGGGTGATGTCCCCTCCCTTCCCAGCCAGGCTCAGCACAGGGTTTGCCAGCAGAGAGAAACCCTTTTCCCCCCCTGCCTGCAGTGTGCAGGGACCTGGTGGAGATGCTTTCTCCTCTGAAGACATCTTGGACATAGGGACCTCATCCTTGTGTATGTGGTACCTGGCTAAAAGCCAGGCAGATCCACGTGCTTTCGCACCAGCTCAGCTGGAGCCATGGCTGATGCTGCCCTGTCTCCTTCCTATCTGTGTCCTTGTCACCTATGAGGCAGCTCCATCTGCAGCGGGGTGTCCAAATCCCAACCCTCTGCTTGGACACATCTGGCATCTCCTGGCTTGTTCCTGGGGGGGATTTGTGGATGCGGCTGTCACTTGGGAGGTCTTTCCTGCTCTGTGGGCTCCTTACAGATGTGTTGGTGTTTATTATCACCCATCTGCTCCTCGCTGCTCGTTGGGGAGTAACACACGTCCCACAGCTTCCCAGGTGACTGTTCTGTGGCTCTGCTCCCTTGGCTCACGGGCCCTGCTCTTTCCTAGCTGTCCCCTGAGACCGGCCCCAGGCAAGGAGGGACCCGTTTGACCATCACGGGCGAGAACCTTGGCCTGAAGTTTGAGGATGTCCGCTGGGGCGTTCGAGTCGGCAAAGTGATGTGCATTCCCATCGAGAGCGAGTACATCAGCGCTGAGCAGTAAGTGCCTGGCGAGGGGTGGGTGTGCTCCAGATCACCTCGGCAGGTCAGGGACAGGGGTGCTGGTGTTCAGATGCTGCCTGTGACTGCAGAAGACATGGAGCTGACCGGGCCGAACTGGGAGAGAGGAACCTGCTGGTTGTGGTTGCTCTAGGAGGAGCCCCAAAGGCTTTGGGAGAGCTTCCCACAGGCAAGGCCACTGCCTGCTGACACCTGGGACCTTTGCTTGGTGTCAGATCTGTCCCTTCCTGAAGCCGGCCCATCCCCACCATGGCACAGGGAGCATCTTGGTGCTGGGACACTGAGGGCTCCTTCCTCGCATCCCTTTAGGATCGTGTGTGAAATTGGAGATGCCAGCCCAAACAAGGTCCACGAGGCACGGGTAGAAGTGTGCATCCGCAATTGCTCGCCCAGCTACCGGGCCGTGTCCCCCAAGAGCTTCACCTTCGTGGTAAGCGCAGTACTGGGGAATAGGTCTGGCACAGTGGGAGGGAGGTGATGGTGGGTGGTTTTCCAGACAAGTTGGAAAATTGGCCATCATTTCCCTGGGGGACAGGTGGGGATGCTCTGGGCAGGCATTGGGTCATGCAGTTTGAATTTCTCCAAGGCTGCCAGTGCTTTGCCTCTCTGCAGTCCTGCTGGCACTGCCAGCCCTTAGCACTGTGCCCTGCTGCTGTCCTACAGCTGCCTCTCCTCTGAGGCCCTGTCACCTGCTCAGGGCTGCCTGGGGTCATGGGTTTCTGTCCCCATCCCATCTGACACCAGGGATGCTCTTTTCCTTTGACAGACGCCCACTTTCTCCCGCGTGGTCCCAGCCCGGGGCCCTCTCTCCGGTGGCACCTGGATCGCCATCGAAGGCAGCCACCTCAATGCCGGCAGCGATGTCTCTGTGACCATTGGGGGACGGCCCTGCGCTTTTTCATGGTGAGGAGCACGGAAGGTAGTGGAGGACAGGTGACAGGCAGCTCCAGAGGCAGCAGCACCCCCAGATAGAGCAGCAGCCAGGAGCCCATGCTGGGGAACCGGGAGGGACCCCGGGAGACAAACCGCCAAACCTTGCGGGTGGCTGGAGACATCTTCCCCCGAAACCTCTCTGTGTCAGAGGCTTCAGGAAGAGCAGATTTTTCTCTAAAAGCACAAAGCCCTGAGGCATGAAGTGGATAATTTTTAGATTAGGGATGATAATGGAGCGGCTCTTTAAATATTTTCCTGCGGTAATTACTGGTTATCAGCCCTAATCGCTGCTGTTTGCAGCAGCCGCGCGATGGGAACTCTGAGGAGCTGCTCAGCCTTTCCTGGCTGCCTTTTGTTCATTTCTTGTTTTGTGTTTTTTTTGTTCCCCTTTTTTTCCACCTTTCTTTCTTTGGCCCCCTGCCCCTGGCAGTTTCAGAAGGGGAGAGGGGCCGGGGCAGGGGCTCATGGGCAGCATCACTGCCCTCCCCTCCCTCCTGCCCAGGTGCTGACAGCTTATATGTTTCTGCCCCAGGAGAAGCGCCCGTGAAATTCGGTGCAGGACCCCCCCTGGGCACACCCCCGGCGGCTCTCCCATCCTTATCAACATCAACCGGGCAGAGCTGAGCAACCCGGAGGTGAAGTACAACTACACGGAGGACCCCACCATCCAGAAGATCGATCCCGAATGGAGCATCAACAGGTAAATGGTGGGATGCCTGCAGGGAGGTTGTGGGACGCATCGGGGGGTATTTTCCACATGGATCCCCGCCTCCTGATGTGTATGTCCTAGTGGTGCTGTGATAGCCACCAGGCCATGCTCTAGAGACGTGGCAAGAGAAGTGTGAGCAATGGCTTGGCACTCCTGGCCTGCAGTGCTCAGCCTGGCAGGGGGCAAGAGCAGTGAGCGCTTTGGATCTGCTTAATTTCAGCTTGACATTTGGCGGTGGCAAATAAAATTAAAATATTTCCCATCGGGGGATTTTTTTAAATGTTTACATATTTTTCTAAAAGGTTTGAATTGGCTGGAGAGGAGGCGAAGGAATCTGTAAAGAGCTAGCGCCAGGGGAAACCTTCCCCAGGGTGTTGATGAGGAGCAAAGCTCCCCAGGGGCATGGCCGAGCTCTCCAGGACTGCCAGGCTTTTAACACAAGGCCGTGGAGAAAACCCGGCGGGGCTCATCCTGCCTTCCACCCACTGCCTGCGTGGTGAAGGAGGGGGAGGCAGAGAGGGCCTCCTTCTCCTCAAGATGCTTTCCCATTGCAGATAGCTGGTCTTTAGCTTGAGAGCTACCTTCAGATCCCAAACCTGTCACAGGATGGGATGTTAGTGTTAATTAGCAGATTTCATATCTCTAGTTGGTCAGCTGAGATGATTTGGCAGTGATGCATGCCAGATTCTGCCAGCTGTGGTGACATCTGGGTGGGATAAGAGGTCCCTGGGGCATTGTGGTTCACACAGGCTGGGGCAGATGGGCATTTGGCTGGTGAGGATGGGTGTTTCCCTTGCAGAAGTGGGGACCCAGGGCCAAGCTGCCTTTCCTAACCCATGGTCTGCATGTCTCTAGTGGTGGGACGCTGCTGACTGTGACCGGCACCAACCTGGCCACCATCAAAGAACCCAGGATCCGGGCCAAGTACTGCAGCTCTGAAAGGGAGAACGTAAGTGGTGCTGGCTGGGGCTGGGGGCAGAGCACAAGGAGGAGGGATGCTGTACCTATGCAACGCAGGGCAGAAAGTGCATTTCTTGGCCATCAGGTGCGATGGTTCAGAAAGGCTGAGGTCCATGGGCTGCCACCCAAAGACAGGCACTGGTCTCCCTGCAGAGCCTTTGGCCAGGTGCTGCCAGGAGTGGGTTGAGACCTGAGCATTCAAAACTGATAGGACATTTGTGGGATGTCTGCAGGATAGTGATAGAAAAAGCCCATCCCCAACGGGCCCCCACCTGCCACCCCTCACACACCCATTGCAGACCCAAGTTTGTCTCTGCCCCAGGGTGGGGTGTGGCACCTGTTGATGTAACAGCACAGGACAGGAGATCCCAAGTCTAAACCCTGTGGCTGGAGCTTCTGCTTCCAGGAGATCCCTGTGGGATCCGATCCTGACCTCCCTTTCGGGAGCTGAGTCTGACCCCCATCCTTGCCTCCTGCAGAACTGCACCGTCTACAACGACACCACCATGGTGTGCTACGCGCCCTCCATCGACAACCCCGAGCGGAGCCCTCCCGAGGTTGGCGACCGCCCGGATGAGATTGGCTTTGTCATGGATAACGTCCAGGCCCTGCTAATCATCAACACCACCAACTTTGTCTACTACCCAGACCCTGTCTTCGAGCCGCTCAGCCCCACGGGGATGCTGGAGCTGAAGCCCAGCTCTCCCCTCATCCTCAAGGTAAGACAGCGTGCACCTGGGAGCGAAGGGGTAAGGACGTGTCCCTCTGTGAAGGTGGCTTTTTGTCTCCTTTGGGGCAAAGCTCTGCATTGTGAGAGCAGGAACTTGCTTTACGTTGGGTTTTTTTAAGTGTTCCCCATTGCACGAGAACTGACAGTCTCGTTCTTTGTACCCTCAAAGGGCAGGAACCTGCTTCCACCGGCTGCTGGTAACTCCCGCCTGAATTACACCGTGCTGATCGGAGACACTCCCTGCACCCTGACCGTCTCCGAGACCCAGCTCCTCTGCGAGTCCCCCAACCTCACTGGCCAGCACAAAGTCACGGTAAACGCTGACACCAGTGCCTTTGCTTTTCATGTCCCATGTGTCACAGAGGTTCAGTCTTTAATCCCGGCACTGGCCCTGCTGTGTGCTTGACCCAGCTGAAGACCAGGCAGTCAGTGCACATACAGGAGCATCCTCAGGAGACATCTTCCTGCTCCCTGGGCATTGCTCTCCCTAATTACATGTTTGGTAGGACCAAATACTTTTTCCCCTCAATAGCATGCTCAGCTGAGCGTTCCTGTGCCCTGGGTGGCCCTGGCTGGCCCTGCCAACAACCTCCCTTCCCCGCTGGGTGCCAAGGCAAAACCTATGCCAAGGCGGAGAGGGGGGTTCCCACCCCTTCCCCCCGGTGCTGGCTAACACTGTAAGGACGGCTCCTTTGTTTGTGGGGTTGTAGCGCAGCAGTACTCACACTCCAGGATCCTGCCAGGTTGAAAGGGACCCAGCACGGTGCCCCCCCCAGGCTCCCCACCCATGAGGGAACTGGCTTCACATCCCATCTGTTACTGTAATGTTGTCTGAATGAGACATCAAACTCTCTGCCCGCTCTGCGTGCGCACTGGCAGCGTGTGTCCTGCATCCCATTAAAGCGTGCTGCACTGCTCTGGACAAGCTCCTGCCATCCCTGTTTTAGTCCCCATCCTTCCTCCCTCGCGCTGGGAGTCATCCCCCAGTTCCCAGCACAGTGGGCATGGTGGGGAGGGCTGCCCCGGGCTCCTGCCCCCCTGACGCCAGGTCCATTTTTTCCCCCCATGACGGTGCAGATCAAGGCTGGAGGGTTCGAATTCTCCCCAGGGACGCTGCAGATCTACTCAGACAGCCTGCTCACCCTGCCCGCCATCATCGGGATCGGGGGCGGGGGAGGTCTGCTCCTCCTCATCATCATCATCGTCCTTATCGCCTACAAGCGCAAGTCCCGAGATGCCGACCGGACCCTGAAACGCCTCCAGCTGCAGATGGACAACCTGGAGTCCCGGGTGGCCCTGGAGTGCAAAGAGGGTGAGAGATCCCTGTGCCGTTAACGTGGGGGTCTTGGAGGGCCTTGTACCGTCCTGAGGCTCAGTGTGCTCCCACCCTTTCCCCGCTGCCTTCCAGAGGGCAAATGGGAATGAGCAAAACTGCTTTGTCAGAAGAAGTGAACTCATTTTGGGTGGAATTTGGGGATTTTTCCAGTTAAGAAATTCCCCTCTGTTTCTCCAAACAGGAGAAAAGAGAGCAAGGAGGGTAGTGAGAGCTGCCTGTGAGCGGGCAGTCGGTCTCTCATTATGTGACAGACGGATGCTGTGAAATTGGACAGAATTCCTTGTATGATCCTGCTGATAAAACCTAATTGCCCATTATCCCCCTGAGCTGGTTCCCAAGGCCCCGACCCTGCCAGCCACAGCCACAACCAGCCTGGGTGCTGCGGATGGAGCAGGCACCGAAACCAAGATAATAAAAAGGAGAAAGAAAGAAAAACCCTTTGCTCCCCAAAATCCCCATCCCTGCACATGCCTGTGGATGGCACTGGTGACAGGGAGAGGGGAGGGAGCTGGTGGAGGGGATGGTGTCTTGTCTTCCACAGCTGGCAGATAAAAGGATCTGCTTTTAATTAAAAGGCACAATCTCTTCCCTGCCTTTTCTCTTTTCTAGTCCCACTAGTTACAGATAAGATAGCACGCCTTTCAAGCTGACGGTTTGTTTTTTCTCATCAGGCTGACGAGCCTGCAGTCCTCTGCTTGGCTTTCAGCTCCCTTTAAAGTGCTGTTAATTTGATTTTTCTGAGGGTTTTCTCCTCTCCCCCCACCCCCCACCCTCCCCACCCCCTTTCCCTGGTGCATCTCCAAGACTCCTCTCCCGTCAGCTTTTCCCTGTAGGTGCAATTAAAGGTTCAGGACCCCCTCTGCATCGTGTTCCCCTGGGAATCACGGCTGCCTCTGCTTGGATTGGGAGGTGCTGGGGTGGGTGTGTTCAAGCTCTTCTCTCCAGTAGTATTTAGGTCAAAAAGAAATGAGTGCATTCTTGTGGTTTAGGCTAACATTTTCCCCCAGAAGCTCTGGCTTTGTTCAAGCCTTGCTGTTCTCCGCTACCCTCAGCATCCCTGGGAGGCTGCTAGTGCTGAGCGGGGGGGATTTGAGCCTTCCGGGACCTGCCAATCCTGTTCCCAATTCTGTCACTTAATTTATTCTGGGGAAGTCATCTCCACCCTCCACAGCTCAGTTTCTCCATCTGTGAGACGGGGGCCATGGTCACAGCCTGCTGGGGGGAGCCGATTCACGCCTGGGGGTCCCCGCTCATGGGGTGCCGGGGGGTGTGCCGGAGGCTGGGTGCTGATGTTGTGTGCTGGGACTCCGGGATATGTTGCTTAATTCTGCTTTTCCCACCACAGCCTTTGCTGAGCTGCAGACTGACATTAACGAGCTGACCAACGACCTGGACGGAGCTGGCATCCCCTTTCTGGATTACCGCACCTACGCCATGCGGGTTCTCTTCCCAGGGATAGAAGATCACCCTGTGCTGAAGGAGATGGAGGTGTGGTTCTGTCTGTCTGTCTCTGTAGTGTTTCACGCTGGGGATGTGCCCCTGTGTATTGTCCTGCACAAGTCCTCGTGCTCCAGGCATAGGGCTGGAGAGATGCTTTGGTTGGATGCTGGCTCAGCCTGGTGCGGCAAAGAGCATCTCGCTGCGTGGCAGCCAACGCGATTGCAGACCGGCTGCCAAATGGTTACTGCACTCTCTGACATTAATATCAATATTTATATTAATATCATTGCTGCTGTCATTTTCTACAGCACTTGCTTTATTCAATTGCGTTTGATGCCTGACCAGCCGCTCGTTCCTAGCAGGCTTGTCCAACATCGCCTGCTTGCTTGGATCCATTTCCCCATGCAGAACCCATCTTTGGCATCCTTCCCCTGCTCCCCAAACCAGCTCCCTCTCCTCTCCCGGCCTCCCCACCTCTGTATAATTTAGTGCGTGCAATTGCACAGCAATTGGCTTCTCGTTTGCTGGGCTGCTGAGGCTGCTCTTGATTAGAGAAAGGAGGGGGGTGACCTTAGCTTCCCCTCGCTGCTGACCCAGCACAGTAATTAATGTCGACGTGGGCTTCACAATGTATTTAGGAGAAGTAATTGGCCCTGGTGCAAGATGCATGGTCACTAATTACAGCACAACAAGCTCTTACCAACTGCAAGTGCACGTGCTGGTGTTGTACTCCAGCATGGCTACAGCACGGGGCCCTGGCTCTCTGCCTGCTCTCTTTCCCTGGTCCCTAATCCCAGCTCCGGAGGGTGGTGGGGACCCCATTTCCATGGATTTCCCTTTGCTGCTTGGTTTCCAGATGCTCAGCAGGCATGAGCGTAGCCCTGCCTGGGTCTCAGCCCTACCTGTCTGTGCAAACGCCTGGCTCTCCTCTCACCTCTGCTCTTGTTCTTAATGATTTTCCCTAAAGAGAGAGGGGTGGAAAGGGTATCAAAAAGGGTATCGAAGGAGGAATTTTGTATTGGCTGTGACAGGCTTGAGTGGAAGTTTGTCTGCTTCCAGCTCCTAATTCAAAACGTCCCACTCGAGAGAGCACACCAGCTCAGCATGGCCTGGGAAGCAAGGGGTTAAAGTTGCAAAGGAGCAAAAAAAAAAAAAATATCCCCAAAAGAGATTAAATAAAGCAACTACAGTTGTGTAAGCTTCATATAATTTAATCAGGTTTGCTTTTATTTGTCTCTTTACTCAGAGTGTAACATTAGCTATTGCAAGTGACGGGGAAGGAAATGACACTTGCTCACGCACACGCTAATCCGCAGCCAGCATCAGACTGTCAGTACCAGCTCCCTTTCTCTTTAGGTTTGGGGGGTGAGGTTTGTTGTTTTGTGTGAATTTAAGCCTGATTAAATATTTAATTCAGTACTGTTCATTTATTTCTGCTAATGATCAGCGAGTTAAACATGGGGGCCCAGGTGAGGTGGCAGGCATGTGGGGTCCTCAGGCATTGCCATGCTGCTTGTGCCAGGGGGTTAGTGTCCTCCCGTGCTCCCTGCCAAAGCTCCAGTGGTCTGGTCACTGTTGGGCAGGACCCGTTTCCCATCTTAATGAGATCCTGCTGCTCCACTGAAGGGAGAAAGCCTCTTGTCCCGTGGTCTCCTTTGCCTGGCTTCAGCTGCAAAAGCACCAGCAACACACAGGTGTGGGGATGCAACACATCTCCCTCTGCCCCGGTTCTGCGGGTAGGTCTTGTAGGTCTCCAGCGCAGCCGCTGCGCTCCAGCTGGCTCTTGGGTCTTCCCATGCTGAGGAATCAACTGGCATCTCTGTGTCCCCGTAGGGAGCAGCTGATGCTGCTGAACCTCAGGCATCTGCCTGTGTTACCAGCATCATTGCATCAAGGTCCCCACATAGTCTGGAGGGAGGGACTCCAGGAAAATGTATTTTAAAGCATTTCTGTTCCTAGCAGGACATTACCCTCTGACCTGTGTTAAGGGAAATTGAGCCATGTGCTTGCTCATGTGGTGCCTGTGAGAAGAATCCAAAGACGGGTCAGAGAGGGTCTGTCACTCCCCCATCACCCTTCTGGGCTGCTCTGGGGCAGGTGTCCCCACTTGCCTGGGTGATGAGGGTGACAGTGGCTCCTAGGAGCTAGTATCACAGAATTAATAAAGACTGGGTGAGAAACAGGGGTTTTGTCCAGGGGGAAGAGTATTTTGGAGGGGGAGGTTAGAACCGTGAGGAGTTTCGCTGAACTGAAGAGCGCTGATCCAAGTTTTGATTGAAGTGAAATGATTTGATGTGTCAAAACCCTGTTCTTCATTTCGAGTTGGTGTTTTGAAATGAAAAGTGTTGTTTTGTCTGCAAATATCGACATGAAATGAAATTTTTCACTTACTCTCCCAATCAGGAAGACAAGGAGGGGGGGAATAATTAAAATTGATGTTTTACCACAGCAAGGCTTTTATTCAGAGGAAATCATCTTTTCTAATGGGAAAAGGTTGTGTTGTAAAAATGTTCATTTCTGATAAGAATTGTGGTCAGGGCTCACCAGACCTGGGCTGCTGATGGTAGCATGGGGATGAAAGCATCCCAGCCCAATCCCTGCTGGATCCTAAGTGGCCAAGTACGGACAGAATACAGCTGCAAATGTCTTGAGGAAAGGCAATATTTCAGGCTGTGTCTGGAGTGGGGCAGAACCAGGTTTCTGCTATTTGCTTCTCTTTCTGAAATCCAGCCCCCCAAAACCAGGTGGGTTTGCTGCTGGCGGAGCTCAGGGTTGTGGCTTTATTTGCTTTCTGTGCAATACCCAAAGCGCGTGTTGCAGTGACTTGGGTGGGAATTGAGCTGCTTGTTAGCTGAAATTGAAAATTATAATTTGTGTGTGTGTTTGGGAGAGAAAGAGTGTTTGTTTATGGGAGGGAAGTGCGTGTATGTGCCTGCACATGCGTGGGAGAATCTTTATATGGAAGTGTGTGTGTATATATATACATAAATATACATTGATGCCCTGAGACTGTGTTAACTTGATGCTGAGATACTACAACCTAGATAATACTTCTGGAGGGAACTGAGGCTGATCACCAAAGAGGAAGCTTGGTAGTACAGAGAGTGCATATCCAGCTGCTTTTTGACCCTTTTTCATCCTTTCCTCTTGGGGAATGAGGGTGAAGCCAGGGTCTTGTGTAGCCCAGCCACTTTCTTCTCATTGCCCTCCCGCTCATGCCCACCTCCCAGCTTTGCTCTATCTTTGCAGGTCCAGGCGAATGTAGAGAAGTCCTTGACCCTTTTTGGGCAGCTTCTGAACAAGAAGCACTTCTTGCTGACCTTCATCCGCACTCTGGAGGCTCAACGGAGCTTTTCCATGCGGGACCGGGGCAATGTGGCCTCCCTCATCATGACAGCGCTGCAGGGTGAGATGGAGTATGCCACGGGGGTGCTGAAGCAGCTTCTCTCCGACCTCATTGAGAAGAACCTGGAGAGTAAGAACCACCCCAAGCTGCTCTTGCGGAGGTGAGTGGCTATCTGAGAGGTCGGAGCTGTGGGACGGTGCCCAGGCTCTTCTGAGCGTGTGGACACGAGCTGGTGTCCTTTAGGGATGCCATCAGTGATGGCTTTGGGTGGTGGCTGTGGCAGTGGCGGCTCTGGGTCTGTGGTCAAGCCTCTCCTTGACTGTCTGCCTGCAAGTACGAGAGGGATGTGGGACCACCCAGACCCAGCGACTCAGGAACTGCCCATGGGACATTCTTGCCCTGGCTTGGCCCATGTGGGTTCATGTTGTCTGGGAAGGAGGGAGCAAGTTGTTCAGCATCTGCCAGCGGTGTAGGCTGGTGCGGGGAGGATGCCCACTGGTGTCAGGCACAGTTGCCTATTGCTGCAGCAATGCTCCCACCTTCCTTCCCTTCTCCAGGTGACCAGGTGGCCCCCCACACCTCTCATCATGTGGGGCAGCTCTTGCCTTGCCCGGTGGCTGCCTCTGCGGGCTGGAAGCAGGCGGGAGCCCTCCTTTCCCTGCTGCCTCCTTAGGGCTTTCCCACCTTGCCAGGCACATGGGGGTTTTCCTGGGAAAGCCAAGCGGATCTTCGCAAGCTGGGAGTCTCGCCGGGGCCGGGGGGGGGAAGCGCGAGTGGGAGGCAGCCTGCCAAGCCCTGCCGTGAGCCTGCCTGGCCCATCAATATTTAACAATAGCTCTGAGCTCTCCTTCATCACGGGCTGATGAATATTGAAAGATACACCAAGTGCTGAACAAAAACAATTAATAAGCTCTACCAGCCCAGCTCGAGGCCCTCTGTGCCATCTTCTCCCTTCACACGCCGTGCTGCGCCTCCCCATCTCTGCCTCCGCCAGCCCAGTGCCACCAGCCTCCAGCGGAGATGCAGGGATGGCAGAGCCACAGGGCTGGCACGTCACCAGAAAGGTTCGAGAAAGCCAGAGCATCTTTCTAACATCAAGCAGTGTTCATGACATGGCCAGACTGGACAAAGGCTTTTGGGTTTTGAGTGCCTGGCCCTGGGGAAACACCTGGAGAAGAAGCAGATGTGAGGTGGTCCCAGTTACATCCCTGCTACCTTCCCTTGGCCGGTCTCTTTAGGTGCATTGCTTTCTCATTCTCTTTGCTTCATTTATTACATTACAAGGGTGCCCTTAATTTCTCAAAGTACCTCATTAGCAGTGTGCCAGAGAGGGGGTGTGGTGCAGACCTGTGGCTGGCTGGGAGAGGGGTGAATCTTGGAGGTGCCAACCCCTGTCCCCCATCCCTGTTCCCAGGGTGCATCCTTAGCCTCTTCCCTTCTTACTGCCCCTCCATGACACCAGGCTTCACTGAAATATTTAAAGAAGCTCCTGGGTCTTTCAGAGCATCACGAAGCTGCTGCCATCGGAGCAAAACTCCAGAATGAAGTCAATCAATAAAACATAAATAAAAGGCAAAGCCTGGAGGCCAGCAGCAGCAGTGGCTGAGCCGTGGGAGCGGCACAGGGGCAGAGCCCAGCCCGTGCCAGCACGGTGAGAGCCAGCAGCCCGAGGACTCTCAGTCCCCAGCCACGGAGCTCGAGGGCCCATTGCAGGTGGAGCTGCAGGAGGCTTAGGACAGAGCCAGAACTTTTCTTGTGCCTCCCCAAGTGATATTTAACAAACAGACTTTGTTCTTCCTGCAGCCACGGCACAGAGCGGCGGTGCTGAGGGCTTTGCTTCTCCATCCTTTTGATTAGCCCTGCTGTTGGGCGTGAGACTGTGCTTACTGCCCAGGGCAACTGGATTAACATGGATCTAACTGGGGAGAGGCGCTATTTATTTATTTTGTTATTGGATAATCCCCCTGTTGCTGTGGCATCTGGATCTATCACAGATAAAGACAAACATTCGCTGGAGCCCGGGTGGTGGCACTTCAGATGAATGTTACAGGCTTGTCAGCAAAGGACCTGGTCTGGGGCCAGAGAGGATGTCTGCTGAATAGCTTCAGTCCACTCCTCCCTCTCCCTACATCCATTTCCTTCTCCCTGTTTTCTTCTCCTTGATAGATCAGTCTTTCCTGGCAGGCACAGGAAGGATTCCCTCCCCTGGAGGCTCAGGTATTGCCATCACCTAATGGTCTAAGGAGGGCTGTGCTGTTCCAGGGAGGGCAAAAAGGGCTAAGCCCCATTAGCGTAAGAGAAAGCCTTGGAAGGGAACCATACAACCCTGACTCAGCTTGAATAAACTCTGGGAAAGTGGATTTCCTAACCCAGCCATCTGGCCGTTGGGAGCTGCTCCTGGTCCATCTGCCAGGCATGTCAGTTCATGGCATTAGGCAGTGGGACTCCTTCTGAGGTTCGGGTTCCTTTTGGGTTTTGTTTCTTGAGTCAACCCATTTGTATCCATTCCCCCGGAGCAGCAGGAATGCAGCCATATCTCTGTGGTTTTTAGTATTGCTTGTGCTTTCAGGAGCATCTGTGTTTGCAAACGGCTGATCTGATGATTAATGGATGGATAAACCGAAGAAGCCTAACTGGAGAGGGTCGAGGGGCCAGTTAGCATTTTTATCTTAAAGGGAGTGAAAACACTTTAAAAATAATGGGCATGTTAAGAGGAATTTTAATCTTATGGCAGGAAGACCAGGCTGTGGTGCACAGACAGGCACATTAAACTGCCCTTGCAGGGCTTCACAGTTCACCTGTGTCACCTTCAGCTCTCTGCATGCCAGGCTGTCTCTCTCTGCCGGAGCAGCATGTTCTGGCTGCAGAACCACCATCCCGGGGGCCCCACATCCTATTCAGACCCACCATGTCTCACACCTGTCCTGTGGGATCCTGCTCTCCCTCCTGTGCACATGGTGGTGGTCCCAGACAGACACAAGTGACTCCCCTGGACTTCCCCTGCCACACTGCTTTGGAGCATGATGGCATCTGGATTTGAACTGTGCTTTAGCAAACTAGGGTCATTATACAGGTTCTCTCAAGGTAGTTATGGCTGCTTCTTTCAACTGCATCTCCAAAAACTGAGAGGCACAGCTCCATTTTTAAACTTCTGGAGCAGGTGGTTGCAGCGTTGATCACTGCAGACTCTTACATCACCATCCCACTCTGAGGAGACACACAGAGACCCAGGATTTCCTCCATGCAGGCAGGGAAGGGTTAAATCCCAAGCCTGGCAGTGTGTCTTTGCACAGCGCTCCAAAGGTACATGGAAAACAGCTTAAGCTTCCAGCCACTGCTCTTACTCCTTCCTTCGTTAATCCCCTTGTTTTCGGCTGATTAGTACTGGGGATAAGTTTGACCAAAACCATATTGGGATCAATGTCTCCAGACCGAAATTCCGCAGTGGCTTTAGCCAAGCCACATGCCAGTGGACTGGAGCCCTCCCTGTGTTGCAGGGCTCTGCATCCCTGCCTGAGAGCCACCCAGATCCAGGCCCAAGGGTAGGGGCATGGAGAGAAGTGAAGGTGCAGAGCCTGGCCTCCTAAAGCTTCACTGTCACCACCGTTGCGAGCCAAGAACCAGGTGTCCTCTCCTCCAGCAGTTCTTCTGAGCAGACCTTGCACAGACTGCTGCGGAAAACTCTCTTTATCCCTCTCCAGTATGGGTAGTGATTGTCCTCTTGCCCTACTGTGGGTCCTGGGCTTTGAGGCTGTAGAGATCAAGGGCTTCTTTGGGGGTTGCAAGGAAGTCCCTTGTCACTCAGTAGTGGTGGGCCTGAATTGGGGCAATAGTGGTATGGAGTGCGCTGCAGGAGCAAAAGTCAGCAGCAGCTCCCAGGTGGAGAGGGGCTTCCAGCTAGATCAGGCACACAGGGATGCGGGAGGAGGTGCTCCTGTCATGGGAACGTGGGTCAGGGTCTGACTTTGCCTTGCAACCTCAGCTCTTCCCTTCAGGTTGTGGTTTAACTGGAGAGCTTGAGGTAGATATGGTGACGTTTTACCTGGCTTAGGTGTCTCATACAATCCTCCTGTGGAGGGAGCTGCCTGGTTCCAGTGGGACACAATGGAAGAAACAAACTTCACTGAAGTAGGACATACGAGGGAGAAGCAGAAAGCTGGTCATCCCCTTGGCGAGACTCCCCATGGGAGAAGGTCATGCTCGGCTCTCTCTGCTTCCCCAAATACACTGGAGACCAATTTGCTTCCCCCTCCTGGGGGGCTGCTGTGGCTCAGCATTATGGATGGGTAGGCTTTCTACTAGAGCTTTCGCTGTCTGCTTGTGCCCCTTTGCTTTGAGGCTCCGGCCTTTCCAGATGTCATCTTTTAAAGCCCAAAATAATTTAGCTGCAGTTCAAGGCTGAGGTGGCAATGGGTAAGATCAGAGACCTTCTAATATCCTCTGCTGACAGCTTTGCTCTCTGCCTTCCCTACAGAACGGAGTCAGTGGCAGAGAAGATGCTGACAAATTGGTTCACGTTTCTGCTGTACAAGTTTCTGAAGGTGAGTTTGGGAAAGGATGGCAACTTCACGAGGGCAGGGAGGTGGTTCCTGCCTCACCGGGATGGGCAGCGTGGTACCCAAAGGCTGGGCTGATGTGCTCCTGTGCACTGCCGCTCCCTCCTGGAGCAGAGATCATTTCCCAGGCCTTCATTCCCATCCTGGGTTTCTGAAATATGATTAGTGATTCTGAGTCTCCTTTTGGGAAAATAGCTAAAATTGAGAAATGAAATCTAGACTGGGATTGCTTAATGTGCATTGGGTTTGAGATCTTAAAAACGGTGCCCAAAGAAATGATAAATCTGAAGCAACTTATCTGAGTCTTGAATCCCTTCATAGTGGTCCCCATTCCTCCCTCCTTGCCTCTGCTTGTGTAACTCAGAAGTAAAAAGCCCAGAAGCTGGTCCTTCTGTAGGCATGACTGTGATCAGAGGATATTTCTGCTTGTTTGGGCTGTAGTTTGATGTGCTGCACTCTTCATGTAACACCGCTGCTTTTCCTTTCTCTGACACTGAAGCTCTGTGGAGGGGAATTGATTCCCCCAGGCATCTCCGCCGCTGCTTCCCCTCTGTAGGTGCCCTGGTGGGATGGACGCCCCATGGGGCATGTTGGCAGCTGGGGACACAGCTCTCTCCACGTGCATGAGGCTGCAGAGCCTGTTAACTTGAATTTGCCTTTTTTCCAATTTCATTGGGGTAGCAGAAGAGGATGCCAAAGTGCAAGGGCTGTTTTTACCACTGGTTCATTGAACCCATATAGAGAACAATTATTTTGTCAGCACTGGTTCCTCCACTTGCTAGAGCCACACCACTGGCTGTGGGGGTTACACAGCTGGAGCTTCAGCCCACGGACCCCCGGCTCAGTCCTGCTGCTGTTTTGGGATGGCACCAGCGGGGTGAACGGCGCCTGCGGTCCTGCCACTGGTTTGTCAGTCAGCAGAAGCATTTCTTGGGATCCTGCCTGGCGTCAGTGCAGCGAGGCTGGGTGGCACGCAGCCGTTTTTGTGGGATTTCATTCCTCATTAAGATAAAGAGGGTTTGAACCATTTCCAGCCAAGAGATGAGAGCGAGCAGGAGTCTGTGCAGAACTCAAGTGATCGTCAACGAGAGGTGATTTATAATATCACTTACATGCACTTGGCTTTTTGCCTCCGTCGAGGGATAGCCTGTATCTATAAAAATCTAGCTGTAGCGTGCAGTGGAGATTGCTTTCCAGGGGTGGGGGGGAGGAAAGCTGTGCTGTTCGTGGGGAAATGTCAAAACTTCTAACACTTCTTTGGGCTGGGGCTTTGCTCAGTGGGGCCACGCTCTGCCCTTCCAGTGACAGTGCCCAGTGGGATGAGGTAGGACACCGGCAGACAGCCCTTTTTGCTCGGTGGGCTCAGTGCGACTGGCAGGAGTAGCTCTCGCTATGGATAAGCTCCCTCAGGGCTCCTTGAAGTAGGCAAGGTTGTGCTTTGGCCAAGCAAAGCACAGTGTACGGCCTTCAGACGCCCACAGCAGTGCCTGGGGACATGGTGTTCATGTGCGTTAAGTTGATGCCCTTGACCTGTCCCTGGCTGGGCTGGGCCATGTGGGCAGGTGATGGGGGCATGTTCCCCTGGTTCAGAAGCTGCTTTGGATCAGCTCATGTGCCACCACTGTCCTGCATCTGTCCTTGTACAATCCTGTCGTCATTCGGAGAGGCTTCCGGGCACATTGCCAGTGCAGGGCAGGTCTGAGGATAAGGAGTATCAGGAGAGAGAGATGTGGGGTTGGGACCAGAGCAATGCCTTTTTATAAAGTCCTTGGCTATACTGTGGCTTTGTCAGGGGAAAATGCCTCCAGTCTCTGGGTGATAGCAAGAGAGAAAAGTCTGGATGCACCATTACAGGAGGAATATATGTGGAGGGCCTGGATAAACCCGTTGGCTGTGAGATTTGTTACACCGGGGATCATCTCCCTGGGGAAGTGGTTGAAACTCCATCACTTGGCTCACTGGAGTTAGACTGGAAAAGATGTGAGGATGCGCTCAGGGCCTCTCCTGAGTTGGTGCCACCAGAGGAGACCCGCAAGGTCATTTCTGCCTGTCTCCCGGCAGCGAGGATCACGGGTGGCATCAAAAGCAGGAAAAGGCCGTGGAGTAGATGGAGAGGTATCACAGCAGACAGTTTGCCAGCAGGGAAACTGCACCAAACTGCGGTAATCGGGCGTGTAAATGAGGCAGGCGGATGTGTGCCCAGCTGCCAAATCTGCTCTCAGCAAACCTGCCTGGAGCAGGGCTGGGCGGTCAGCGTCGTGCAGCCGTGATGTGCTGGGGTGAGGGATAGGGACAAGGGACAGGACAGCCCCATCCCAGCAGGGCCAGCAGCGTGGAGAGCCAGTGAGGGCTGGCGCTTTCACAGGGACCCTGTAGTAGCATTTATCAGACTCTTAATGAGACACCCCAGGGAAAGGGAGAAGGATAAATCGAGACAAGTGCTGAAAAATGCACGATATTAGGTGCCTGATGAGCTAGATCTAGTCAATAAGACAGTCTGAGTGTTAGCTGGCTCGCCTCAGCCTGCTCCCAGCGTACCGATGCATGCATGCACAGGGGTGTTTGCAGCCACCCTCCTCCAGCTCGGCTCGCACGGAGAGCCCCCGCAAAGCCCCCCTCACTCAGGCCCCCAGCAGCGAGCAATCTGTCCGGGCTGGCAGCATGGGCACGGCCGTGTTTGGTGGGCAGGCTGCCCTCGGTCAACCTTGGGGCCGCCCAACCCCATCTCAGCGGTCCTCTTCTGTATCTCACCTGATGGAGATCATCTTGGGGCAACTGCCCGGTGCCAGTTCCTGCGGTCCTCAAGAGCTGGTGGGGACAGTCAGGTTGGGAGCAAAGTTTTGGATTTTAAGGGTAGGATGCATGTTTGGAACAGGTGGGGAAGCCAAGCTGCAAAAAGCAGAGGATGCACAGGGGGACAGGACAGAGGGGCTGTGTCAGTTGATGTTAGGGTGCCTGACAGGGCAGGAGGAGACCAAGATCCTGGGATGCACAGGAGCCCCCAAAAGCCGGCATGGTGCTGGAGGAGTGACGTACCCATCACCAGGACCACTGATGCCTCCATAGGGCCAGCTCTAATCCACGCATCCAAAAAGAGATTTTATTCCCCATCAGCCTGGCTGACGTCTGAGGAGCAGAGGAGGCGATGCTGTGATGCCTGGAGTGCCACCGAGCCACCAGTGATGGGAAGGGCTGAACCCACCTCTCTTGGTGAGGATCCCCAGAGGTGGGTGTGGAGCTGCAGACGAGGGGGCAGCAACCATGCCTTGCTGGAGCAGGGAGATCTGTGGGCTGAGATGGGAGCAGCTGTGCCAGATGAGGGCAGGAGTCCCACTCCAAGCTGTCCTCCATCCACACCGCTTCCGCAGACTTGGAAGTTTTATGAGGAGTTTTTACAAGCAACTGAAAGAAGCAACTCAGATCTTTCCAGTGTGGCCAGAGGGGTGGTCTTGGGGTGCTGTGGGAGCCCCTGGGGGGTCACTGCTCTGCAGCCAGCCTGGCACTCCCGTCTTGCCGGGCAGCTGGCAGTGCGCCGCGTAGCACCCACCTTGGGTCTCTCACGTTTCCAGGCTGACTTAATGAAGCCAACTTTGGAAATGAAACATAATTTCAAAGACAGGCGTGTTGTCGGAAGGTCTGGGGATGATGTATGCCTGTTCCTGCTCGTTAGCAGCTGTCTCTTTAATTACCGCAGATGCTAACGAGATGCTAACAGCATATGGTGACAGGGAGAGCAGCCGCACTTTGCACCAAAGTACAATTTATTTGTGAGGCGGCCGGGAGGGAGGGGCGAGAGCTGGTGGTGTGAAATCTGCTGGGACTTCCCCTCTGCTTCCATCGTACCCTTTTTTCTCCTTTAGGACTAATGCCTGTATCTGGAAGGGCTCATTGGGATACAGCTCAGTGGAGAGGTTTGGACCCTAGGTGATAAAGGGGTGTCCACTTCCAGCCCCCCTACACCAACTCATGTCTCCAGGCTGGCTGGTGCCTCCAAACTTGGCAGGACCTTTGCTGTTCCTGGATTGCTGCAGTTACAGCATCTTTGGAGGAAGTGTGTCATCCAGTTTCCCTTTCCCTCCCTCCCTCCCTCCCACATATGAGATAGATGCTGATGTGGCTCTGGCTGGTGGCTAAAGCTGGCTCTGACTGTAGGGGTTTGGCAGTGGGGACACATAGGTGGGAAATAGTTTAACTGCAGGAAAGCTCATTGCCTGGTCCCCTTCATCGGCTGGAGACTCGAGGTAGGGCTGTCTGTGAGTTGCTGTCTTGCTTTTCCTTCCCAGTGGATCTGGCTGGCTGGGTTCAGCTGTCATATGGAGAAACGTCCCTTGACCTTCTCCCATGTGAGACTGGGCAGATGCCAGAACTGAATCACGATACCTGGTCAAGAACCCCAAGGCTGTCCCGCTGCAGCTTGCCCTTTCCAGTCCTCAGGTGCTTCTCTTGGCTGGGTGAGCTCAAAAGATAGGCTATATCCAATACAGAGTCCCCAGACCCAACCTGCTCTTCACTAGCCTGTAATTTAACATTTTAGCTCGTTTTTTCCCTGTAGAATGAGCAGAATTCACCGAGGAATGTCTGGAAACTCTGGGAAGCTGAGCCTAGGGGTTGGTAGACAAGGGAACAACCTCCAGTGGGCTTGGAAGGAGAGAACGAGTTCCTCCATAGGATGAATTTTACCATATGCCCCTTTCCTTGCAGTCTTGAGCAAGGGCTGGAGACTATAAAGCCATGTATGAGGCTCGATGCTGCAGGGCCACAGCAGGCTTCTGACATGGTGGTGGTTCTTGAAAGGCAAAGCTGGTGTCTGACACCTTCTCACACCTCTCTCTTCCTCTCCTCTATCCCATCCCACAGGAGTGTGCTGGGGAACCGCTTTTCATGCTCTACTGTGCCATCAAGCAGCAAATGGAGAAGGGACCCATTGATGCCATCACTGGAGAGGCTCGCTACTCCCTCAGCGAAGACAAGCTTATCCGTCAGCAGATTGACTACAAAATGCTGGTTAGTGCAAGCGGAAGACTTATGGTGCTGGTGCTTGACAGGACTGCTAGGTCCAGCTATTTAACAAGATCTTGGAGGCACGCAAAGTACTTTGCAGAGAGTGGTTTGTCTCTTGTTCTCTCTGGCATCCCTGGTGTGCCTCTTGCCCTGTCTCAGTGGTGCCCATCTCAGCTATGATCAGAAACAGGGCCTTTGCATGGGAAGGTTCACTCTTGCCATGGAGCTGAGAAAGCCAAACATGAACTGAATCCACACCTCTCCCAGAAAACCCCATGGCCCTGACAGATACGGGGCCAGAGATGCTGTTGAGCACATGCTGCCTGGAGCAACCAGCGGCTCCTGTTGGGTGGGGTTCAAAGTTAGAGCCATGAGATTACTGCAGGAGATGGAGAGATACTTCTCTTCCTCTGTATGAGTCATCTCCTCTGTCTAGCTAAATGATAAGCCAGGCCCTTCCCCTGGCTGAACCTGCAGCTGGTTCTTCACCGCTTCCATCTCCACTGGGGTGTGGTTGGGAGGGGAGTGGATTGTGACTAGGCATCGCTCAGGCTAGGCAAGTTTTGGTGAGTTGGGCATAGTTTGCTGGCTCAGGATTCCTTCGCTGACACTGTGCTGCCTTTCTGGGATTAGTTGGAGATTTGAGGGTGGTGGGAAGAGGTGGGGAGAAAGGGGGGAGCGGGAATATGCCATGTGGCTGCAACCCAGCAGTGGCCCGGGAGGGAGATGTGGCCTGTAGACGGCTGTAGCCCCATGTCCTTGGACCTGCCTTTGCAGCCAGTGTGTCACAAGCTCTCACTTGAGTCTTTCTGACCCCTGTGCTATGCAGACCCTCAACTGCGTGAACCCCGAGAATGAGAACGCTCCAGAGATCCCCGTCAAAGTGCTGAACTGTGACACCATCACACAGGTGAAAGAGAAGCTGCTGGATGCTGTCTACAAGGGAGTGCCCTATTCCCAGCGACCCAAAGCTGGGGACATGGACCTGGGTAAGAGAAAGGCCAAGCACTTCCCTGTGGGGAGCGGGGATGTGATTAAGATCAGAAGTACCAAAAAAACTGTTCGAGGCAGGAAAATCCACATCTTCTGCAGAAAAGGAGATGTGGCAGGACCAGAGTATGTGAGAGAGTGCTTGTCCAGTCTGCTTTTGCTGTGCTGGTGGCACTGAGTGTGTGTGGGGACGTCTGGCATGAGAGTGTGGGTTCTGCCAGTAGAGAAGATGGGGAGAGGAGCCTCTTCAGCTCTGGGTGTCGTCTAGATTGCAGGCTTGAGGTGGCTGAGGACCAAGGAGGCAAGCAATAGTTGAGAACAGTGTTAATAGTCCTGTTCTTAAAGGAGAGCCAGGAGAATGAAGAGGGGAGGAACAAAGGAAACAGTCACCAGGGTCAGATCTACGCTATCCTTCAGTACACAGAAACAGTTTGCCCAACACCATATGGCTAATCATCAGTCCTGGGGTTCAGAAGGTGGTAGGAGGGCTCTTTTATTAATGTCCAGACAGTGCTCCTACCCTTGTTTTGGCTTTGTGCTCCTATTGCCTCCTAACCATAAGCCCTTCTCCCTGATGGGGACAGAGTGGCGGCAGGGCAGGATGGCCCGGATCATACTGCAGGACGAAGATGTCACCACGAAGATCGACAATGACTGGAAGAGGCTAAACACCCTGGCCCACTACCAGGTAAGGCTGTCCATGGTAGAGAGCACTAAGCAGTCACCAGCTGGTTTGAGCTCGAGCATCTTTTCTCCCTCCTCAGCTTGGTCAGGGCCTGGGCTCAGCCTTCCAGACCATGCTGCTCATGCAGGGGCATGGCCAGGAGATCTGCAGTCACTTTGCTACCCGAGCCCCATGTTTGTGTTCCTTCTGTTTGAGGAAGCACTAAATGGGGCATCTGCGGGACTCACAGGGGCTGTTTCACGCTCTGAGCTTACTTTGCCATTTTCATGCCAAGCTTTCTGGTGTGTTCCCATTCTGACCCCTTCGCCCAAGCTGTTGCAGAGGTAGATACGTAGGTCTCCTTTGCTGGAGGTGGGTGTCCCTGGGGTGGGGTGCAGTGCAGCATCATCCCTCCTGGGCTGGTTTCTCCCTGCTGCGGGGCTGTTCCTCCTGTGCCTCTCTGGTATCGCAGCCTGCTCACGCCATCTCTGCCCCCAGGTGACAGATGGCTCCTCGGTAGCCCTGGTGCCCAAGCAGAACTCGGCGTACAACATCTCCAACTCCTCCACCTTCACCAAGTCCCTCAGCAGATACGGTGAGCGCGCAGGGGCATCCTCCGCTGTGCTGGCAGGGGAGGCAGCACTGGGCTGGACTTGCAGACCAAGGCACAGGGCAAGTGATCGTAACTGTGGCTCACGTGAACAAGGTCCTCCAAACCCCCAGCTCTCTCCTGCACCATGCTATTTATTCTGGTGTTGGAGAAGGAGCAGATGCCCTTAGAGCCATCTCTCTTTGCAATGTGTCAGACTTGGGAGAGAAAGACACGTATCAGATGGCTGCTGCTGAGGGATCCCCTTCCTTTTATTCCCCTGAAATCTAATTAAAATAGTCACAGAGGCACTTTGCACTTAAATGAGCGGAGTTGAGGACTCCAGCGAACGTGCTGGCAAGAGTACTTCAGCCTGGGTTTGGAATGGAGTGGTGTGGTCAGCTCAGGCTGACACGGGAGGCTTCTGTGATCCTGGCACCAGCGTGCTGGGAGCAGGACAGGCCTCTGCAGAATCCCTTCCACAACGGCCCTGGCCCCTGGATGTCAGCTAGGCTTGCACGTAGCCTGTCAGGAGGGTCCCAGCAGAGCTCCCAGTCCTTGGTGGCTGCAGGGGCTGGATCTCAAAGCTCCTGTTTCACAGCTGCGTTGTACCCCAAAGCCACAGTGGAGGGAAGGGGGACGCAGGGGCTGGCGGCGAGGCGGAGGTGGGCAGGGTACGAGTGTCCCCCTCTGCTTGGCGCTTGCAGAGAGCATGCTGAGGACAGCCAGCAGCCCCGACAGCCTGCGCTCACGGACCCCCATGATCACCCCCGACCTGGAGAGCGGCACCAAGCTTTGGCACCTGGTGAAAAACCACGACCACATGGACCAGCGGGAGGGCGACCGGGGCAGCAAGATGGTCTCTGAAATCTACCTGACCCGCCTGTTAGCCACCAAGGTATGGCCCAGAGATGCAGAGCTGCTGCCTGGTTTTTTAAATCTGAGTGGGAAAGGGTAGTGATTTGGATTGTCCAAAAGTCATAAGCACTGTTTTTTTATTAGCCTTCTGTTTCAGCACTTGAGGAGCGACTCTCTTGGTTTCTTTCCTGAGCTGGAGGTGATGTTTTTGTGTGTCAGAACCCTCAGTGAATCTCCCTTGAGTGGATTTTTCTATTTGGTTTTTACACCCTTTGGTGTTTTTACTGTTCCCTGTATCCCTGAACAGCTGCTGGGCTGCAAAGCAGAGATGCCCTGGGGCACATGCCTCATCCCCTTGGGTGTTTGGGCTAAAGCTGCAAAATCAGTGATGTGGGAAGGGTAATTACCCAGGGCGTTTGGAATCACAGTGGGTTCCCCTTCCCTCGGAACATACATCTCTAGTGCCATGCGGGTGCTGTGTGTCTGAGATGTCCCTAGAGAGGAGTGGACAGCTGTGCTGAAGATACTGGCTCAGGATTGCAGAGACTGGGCTCAGTCATCTCCCCTGTGACTTGGCTCCCTGCCTCACGGGACAAAGGCTTGTTCAGAGATGTCTGTCATCAGGTCTTGGGTACCTTAATGGGACCCAAAAAAGACTGTGATATGACATACATTCACTTGGTGTTTTTATTTGCGTGCATTTAGCATGCCAGATCACGCAGTGAAGGAGATATCGCTGCAGTGTCTGTTGCCCAGTATAAACCACTGAGAACCAGTAGGGTTGCACAGACTGTACTGTGCTTCTCTTCCAGGTGTTAGGAATAGAATTTAAATTGGTTTAAAGGCTGACCTTTAGTTAAAGGCTTATCTCTCTGCTGGTGCTGGGCACTGCTGAGCAGCCCTTGTCTTTCTCCTCTTCAGGGTACCCTGCAGAAATTCGTGGATGACCTGTTTGAGACCATCTTCAGCACAGCACATCGTGGGAGCGCGCTGCCCCTCGCCATCAAATACATGTTTGATTTCCTGGATGAACAAGCTGATAAGCATCAGATCAACGATTACGATGTCAGGCACACCTGGAAGAGTAACTGGTAATGGAGAGGGACAGTGGGAAGGGGGACTAATGATATCACAGCTAATGATACTTCCAACCCCCTCCCACAGGGAGCAGAAATATGTCCCTGGAAATGATCCAGAACAAGAGAGGCCCATATCTTTGTATTTCGGGTGTGGGTAAATCCCTTGCATGCCTTCCTGCAGCAGAAAAAATCCCAGGAATGCAATGCTCCCTCAGCTCTTCCATTCCCAAATCTCAGGCACCACGCTCACCCTGAGGGCTGGATTCGACTGAGGACCTCAGTGGTCCTGTTCCCACCTCACCTTGGGCAAACGTCACTCAGGCTTCTCCATGCTCTGGGCTCCTCCAGAGATGCCAGCCCCACTTCTCACCTTTGCTGTCCTGAAGGTGTTTCCACAGTCCCTCCCATCACTCAGCTGAGCATGCCCTAACAAAGTCAGCATAAAGCCCTGTACGCATCTTCTCTGTTGTGGTTTAGCCCCAGCCAGCAACTAAGCACCACCCAGGCGCTCGCTCACTCCTCCTCCCTGGTGTGATGGGGCAGAGAATTGAAAGGGTAAAAGTAAGAAAACTTATGGGTTGAGATAAGGACAGTTTAATAATTTAAATAAAATAATAATAAAAAAAAATAATGATAATAATAATAAATGTAATTAAAATGAAGATAGCAAAAAGAGAAATAAAACCCAAGAAAAACAAGTGATGCAAATGAAAGACAATTGCTCATCTCCAACTGACTGATGCCCATCCTGTTCCCAAGCAGTGATCCCCCAGCCAGCTTTCCCCCTAGTTTATATTTGGAGCATGATGTCCTGTGCTATGGAATATCTCTTTGGCTCGTTTGGGTCATCTGTCCCGGCTGCGTCCCCTCCCAGCTCCTTGTGCACCCCGGGCCTGCTCGCTGGCAGGGGAGCATGAGAAGCTGAAAAATCGACTTAGTGGAAGCACTGCTCAGCAACAACTGAAACGTCAGTGTGTTATCAACATTATTCTCATCCTAAATCCAAAACACAGCACTATACCAGCTACTAGGAAGAAAATTAACTCTACCCCAGCCAAAACCAGGACACCTGAGACCCCTGTAAGTGCCCTGCTGCGGCCGGGGCTCAAGCAGGCGTTGGCTCCTGCTCTGCATCCCCCACTCCACGTTTTCCTTTTCTGCTGCCTCACTGATTTCATCTCTCTGATCTTGCTGTTACTGGAGACGGGTACGTACATTCCCGTGTCTGGCATTTGTTAAATGGCAGCCAAATTGCTTTTGTGTAGTTCAGTAACTGTTGGCAATTAGCAGGGCAGGAAAAGAAACATTTTTAAATGGAGATGTGAGAGCGCAGAAGCACTTGGAACTGATTTATAACTCAGCTTTCTATATTAAAAGAAGGAGCAAAAGGCAAGGGAGGAAAAAAAAGCCCCACTCCGCAGGGGTTGGGCATGCAGGCTCCTGCATACTAATGCCTGTACTTATCTCTGGGCGCTAATTCGATGTGTGGAGCTAATTTCTTGAGGCCATTCCCTTCACAAATGAAATATGTACATGCACCCGGTACCCTCATTAGGAAAGTCCTGGGGAACGAAGTCTGTTTTGTCTAAGATAAAAGCATTCACTGGGTGTTGGTGCTGAGGGATGACAGAGCAGAGACACTTTCTGATAGGGGGAGGCCCTCAGATGTTCCCAGGAGAGGAGAGGGGCAGCAGGATTGGGAAGTGGAGCCACGGAGGGTGACGTGTGTCGGTATGCAGCAAACCTCCAGTCAGTGGCTGACCAGGAGACCTGCTGCCTCTACAGCCGAGAGCTTTATTTCCAGCATCTGAGGCTGCCTAAATTCTCTGGTGTTAAATGTGCTAATGAATCCCTTGAGGAGTCCAGTTAACTCCGTCCTCCGACATGGGAGACGTGTGAAAAGCCACACGGCGCCTTCAAAGGGATTATTGATGCAAGAGAAGGGGACAGTGCCTGGTTTGACCCATGGGCTCAAGAATGGCTCTTCAGTGTGAGTGGATCCTTGGAGAAACTTCATGCCTGCCCTACCCTGCTTTGCCTTTAGAGACATTGGCAATGCTGAGGAATTTCTCCATGGAGAGCTGTGGCCATGTTGGGGTGGGCAGAGGGGAACAGGCATTTTCCCCAGGATGTTTGCATCCCTGGGGTGCTGGGAAAAGCAGCCTGCCCAATTCTGGGTCACAGGGAGCTCCTTCTCCACGACCGGAGGTGCGTGTGTGTGCCAGCTGTAAGGCTTGGGTCAGGTGCTGACTCCTGTTTCCTTCATCCCTCAGTCTACCTCTACGTTTTTGGGTGAATGTGATTAAGAACCCCCAGTTTGTGTTCGACATTCACAAGAACAGTATTACTGATGCCTGCCTATCCGTGGTGGCTCAGACATTCATGGACTCCTGCTCAACTTCTGAGCACAAGCTAGGAAAAGACTCTCCCTCCAACAAACTACTGTACGCCAAGGACATCCCCAACTACAAGAGCTGGGTAGAAAGGTAAGTAGACTTGGCAATAGCTCCTTGCTTCACCCAGATGACTTACAGTGGGCATATGTGGGTGTGGGGACTTGGGTCCTTGAGAGGACCTATCTTGGCAGCTGTCTGAAGAGGGATGGTACTGAAGCTTGCAGAAAATGATCCTCTCATTTGGGAGATGATGCTTTCTCATGATTGTTTACTGGAATGAGTTTGCAATGATTGTTTGACAGAGCTGTTTATGACTTGCTTAAGGAGTGCTAAAAGCAACCTCCACTTTTAGGTTGTCTGATGTTTTCTGTTGTAAACCTTGGTCTGTGCTAGGGAATTGCTGACACCTCCCTTGATTGCTTTCAAAGAGCAGTGAGAAGTCAGCCTTGGACTAGAGAAGTGCCTTTTTTTGTACCACAACAATACACGCAGGTTTTGCTGAAATAGTTGAAAATTCCCATTTCCCATCTCTCATCCATCAGAACATCTCACCTGGGATCCTGATGAGAGCACATGCTCTGAGGCAGTGCTCAGGATGCTGTCGCTGTGCCGAGGAGCAGGGAGAGGAGCAGGTCCCCTGACTCCTTCTGACACCCTCCACCTTCACTGTTAGCTGATGAGAGACATCTTTCTGTCCCGCTGAATTAATGCAGTGTTAAGGGTTCAGGGTTTGAATGCTACTGATTGCGAATTGATGCGCTCAGACATAATGCTGTGTTTAGCTTTATCCTTTTGGGAGTGACTGCTAGGAGATGTCCTCCAAAGCCCTCCAAATAGAGCTACTGTTAAAATGTTTCTGTCTTGTGAAGTGGGACTTCATCGAGCTTAAAAAATGGCAGATTTCAGGTTGCTGATGCAACTTTCCCCTTGTGCTGATACGCTGTGCTATAGATCATGCTCTTTTTTTTTTTTTTTTTTTTTTTAACTGCGGACCCTTTACTTTTTCAGCATGTAGACCAGATACAGAATGAACCAAATGAAAGATATCCAGGCAACAATAAGCATTATGTTCTCTAGTTTGCAAGCATGGGACTTTGTAGCCTAAATCATCATTTGGATGCTTGCTTGTACACAGTTATTTTTGTCGCACCGTTGGCATGCCTGGTGCTTTGCAGGCAGGTACAAAGACAAACTTCTTCCCTTGAGGAAGATAGGGCTTGGATCAGAAGAAGAGGTGGCCCTGAAATGTGATGGCTGAGATAAGAGATGAGCTGCACTGTAATAGAAGAAAGTTCTTTGTGGGAGGCTGGAGGGGTCTTTGGAGTGGGCTGCTGTAGGAACATCACGAACTTCATAAGGTGAATTTCTCTGACCTTGCTATCTCTATGACAAAAATATTCAGCCCTGCATGTGCCCGGAGAAAAAAAAAGGTATAAAACCATTCCAGAGTTAAGCATTGATCCAGACATGCTATGTCCCTGGGGAGGAGGTGGGAGATCTCACTGGTGACAGATGTTCTGCCATCGCTTACTACCAGTACGGTCCCAGAGGCAGCTGAGCAGGGGGCCAAGCTGCCCTGTGTCTCCTACCACTCCTCTGCTGTGGGGATTTATGGCGTAATCAGCATTTCTGGCTTTTGGCATGGTTATTGTTGCAAAGCTTTGCAGAGGCAGGAGGGGAGCAATGCGAGGGCGGCTGAGTGGAACTGCCGGTCCCAACAGCAGGTCTGTCTGTTGCCGTGGTTCATGCACCAGCTGAAAAAAGTGCATCCTGCCAGTCTGAGGCAGGAATAGCACAGGGAAGGGCTTGAGAGGTAGGGGAGCCTGGGGAACCCCAAAGGGACTGCTGTGGGGTCACGGCTGTGGTAGGTATCCTCTGGAAATGGGAGGCGTGACTGGGATATTGGTCCACACAAGCCATGCACACTTCCATTGAAAAACGATGGTTTTCTGACATCCTTTGTGTCATGGTAAAACCCAGAACGTAGAACTGCTGCACATTATCTGGATGTCTCCTTGTGACAGCCACAAAAGCTTTATTCTTCAGCAGATGTCCCTTGTACATTCATCTCCCACGAGTCCCTTCCCACAGGGGCCTTCACCTACGGGGTTAAAGGGTGGCCAGGAGGATCTCTACGGGTTTTCTTTGCTAATCAAAGCTGGCTGGAACTGAGAAGGTTTGGCATATTGTCCTCGATACTCCTCAACACAGGCAGAAGTAACGTCAGCTTTAGGAGATGTCACTCTGGGGCTGATCTCTCCAGCGGTGTAACAGATCTCTTGATGCCTGGTTTAGTCAGGGGTCCTCACCTCAGACCGCTGCTCTCTTGGCAGTATCTAGGAAATCTCTTGCATCACTTTCTGGGTGTGAATGAGCCTCCTTGTAAAAACTGCCCGAGTCTTTTATCACTAGCTGAGTTCAGCACTGTGGGATGGAGTGGATCCTCATATTCATCTCCTCAAGTGGTCTTGCTGCCATCTGCTCCTACCCAAGTGCTTCAGCCATGTTCTATCTCAGCGTTCGGCTGATGATGCTAATGATGCTAATCACTGTACCAGAAACTTCACTGAGCGAGAAGTCATGAGGAGTAAAGCAAACCTGGGAGACACTGGCACTCTGTATTTCAGGGTGGTGGGAGCAGCCAGGGTTTGTTTGCTGTGGGTATGGCTTCTTTTTTGTTAAAGGCCTGTGGACACAACTCTGGCTTCCAAAAGGACCTCGGCAACCAGTCCGCAGCGGTGCATCTGCTTGGTGTAACTCTCCTGCTGCAATGTGATGCTGTGGCTTTGATCTCCCTGGGTTTTGATGAATATTGTATTGGATATTCTGTTCTTCCACTACGATTCTGGACCGTATAAGCTGTGTCTGGGTTTCCCTGTATTTGATGAGCATATCAGTGAGGCAGCTGTGGGATAGGACTGCAAATCTTAAGGTGTCCTAGGAATTGTAAGGTAGTATCCTGCTGGTAGCAACCATCAGAGAAGCACAAGGAAGGCAGGAAAGCACCAAGTTGTTTGACCCAGGCATGCCCTAAGACATCAGCTACTTCCTCTGCTGTCCACGACCCTCTGAGTTCACAGACATGTCTGTAGAACCTCGGTTTTCACTGAAAACAAAAGTTTCTCGTAGCCTTTTGGCGAGCTTTAACTTCTGAGCATGGCCAGCAGCAGTCGTAGGCTGTCTTGAATGCCTGTTACTGAGGAAGATGTAACTACACAGGCGTATATCACTGCAAGGGCTGGATGTGAACTTGGCTTGTGTTCATGCACCAAGTGTTTAATTAAATGCAAATGGGCATCGCTGGCTTTAGCGACGCGGTGACCTTAGGAGAATGGTAGCAAAGCCTTATGTGTTGCTGCAGGCATGGAGGATTCTGGTGGCTGCAGCTTAGTGACAAAACATGCCAATGGGATGGGAAAGAGGAAAAATGTGTGGTTTAGGAGAGAGTGGGAAATCCCTGAGAGCAGCAGCTCCTGGCTTCCCAGCACAGTGAGCAGGGCTGGGTTCGGTGCTGCTCCATCAGGAGCGTGCTGCTAATGATGCTGAGTGCTTGGAGACCTCTTGATGAGCAACGGCACTATAATGGGTGACCGTGGTATGTCACCGCTCAGAGGCAAGATGCTCTTTGCTTTGCCTCTCCAGTGGATGTTCTCAGCAAGTGTCTTGGTGGGGACCTATCCTCTTCTGTCTGTCCCTATTTCTGACCCACTCTTCCATTTCTCCTGTGCAGATATTATGCAGATATAGCTAAAATGCCAGCGATCAGTGACCAGGACATGAGCGCGTACCTGGCGGAGCAGTCGCGGTTACACCTCAGCCAGTTCAACAGTATGAGTGCGCTGCATGAGATCTACTCCTACATCACCAAGTACAAGGATGAGGTAAGATGCAGCCATGGGGAGCCAAGCCTGGGCTGCAAGCTGTGTCACTTTGCCCACATTTCTGCAGTCCCCTGCTTTTTCCTATAGAAAAACACCCCGTGAAATACAGGAGAACAATGTAGTCTGTGTCTGTGCTTGGACTGGCAGGGATGGAAAGGTCTGAGGGGCGTGGAGCCAGGCACTGATGTAGACAGCACTCTGTTCCCCATATTTTCTGCAGTGAGTAATGTGGGAAACACCTATTTTTCTACACGTTTGGCACATGATCTCTGCGGGGCGGCAGAGTTTGCGGCATTATCTCAGTGTGCTTCCCCTGTCTGCCACCACCAACCCGGCGCCGCGGTAGTACTGACGCCGTGTGACCGTACAGGCGGTGTCCGGCCCACTCCCCGGGGATGCTGGAGGATGTGGTGGCCTCTTCAGTGCTTGCTTGGTAAACATCAGTAAGAATGGTTAAAACCCCCTCTGCTGTAATTTATACAAATTAACTTCGTAAAGTGCCGCTCAAATCCACACCCTGCATCTTTTTATTAAAGCAATAAAAATATGTAACTACAGTAAAATATGGATCTATACATATAACATGATAGTATGGATTTTATTGTCCCAATAAAGGGGATTGACGACTATTTGAACGGTGGCTTATTTAGGTAACAGAGTGCCAGAACATCTCCTGTTCAGAGAGAGCTGGGAGAACCAGCCTCGTGCTCTGCAAGGAGAGGAAATGGGGTCCCTGTCGTACCCTGCAGCAATCCCGAGAGGCATCTCTCAGTGCCTCTTTGAGGTGTGAATTTAGGGAGTCTGCGGACAGGTCGTCACAGACCTGGCCCCTAAGTCTAAGGTTCAGCACTTGGGACTGTGGTGGCCGAAATCTTTGTGGAGCTAGGTACTTTGCAGGAGTGGGGAGGAGGAAGAGGAGGAGGAGGAGGGCCTGGCTTGCCTGCAGGGATGGGAGGAAACCCTGGTGTGGTGGTCACCATGCAACTGGTGGTCATGTACTGATGACCATGCTGGTGGGGCCTCTGTGCCACTCCCTAAACTACTTAGGATGGCACATCCAGAAGGCCCCCATGGCTCTGTGTGATGAGTTGGATGTAAAGGGCTTTTGGGGTTTTATAGTTTGTACAACATCTCTGTGGCTACCACAAGAGTGGAGGAGGAGCAGTCTGGAGGGTCTAGATCTGCTGTGGGGCAGCCGTCATCAAGTGCTCACTTCCTTCAGGCTAAAGGTCCTTCAAGGCTTAAATAAATCCTCCAAGCCCTGGGCAAGAGCAGGGAGGGGATGATGTGACATTAATGAGCTGCTCTTTAGGGGCACAGGTCCTCTTCTTGCCCATTAATGGCAGCCTGACATCTGTTGAGTGTCTTGCTGTTGCCTGCTCTCCAAGCATCACAAGTGTGTTCACAGCTCTCAGGAACTTCTTTTATTGTTTGTAATGGGATTAATAAATCGCAGCTGTTCCCTTTGTTTGTTTTCATTCATTAAGCACAATTATATGCAGCCCGATTGCACCCTCTTTGATGCAAAATGGGAGAGAATAATTTTTCCTGTTGTTCAGTGCAATAATATGCTGTCATTGGCTGTGAATGAAAATCATAATTAATTTTCATTTGGGTACTTGCATCTTGGTAATCAGTGGTCCTGGCTCCTTACAGCAGGTGACAAACCTGGGTCTCTCTCTACACTCGGCACAGGTTTCCTTTGACTGCATTCTTTCTGTAAGGCTGAGATAAAAGAGGAGCAAATAAATGCAGAGGCAGGTTGTGAATCTTTTGACATCTCAGCATCCCAGGATACACAACTGTCTTATCGAGAGAGGCGGAGGAGGCTGGTGGGGGGGAATAGGCTCCTCTTCTACTTCTTGGACCAATCTCATTTCGTTCCAGTTCAGCCACCTTTCAGGCACGTGGGGTTTTGATTTCTGCGTGAGCGTTATTATAGTTATTTTATTCTGAGTATAGCATGATGGCCGACAGCGGCTGTGGAGATGGATGGTGGGGGAGTGTCACTGGTAGCAGGTTTGTGGCAGAATCTATGAGTTCTCATGAGTCTGGCTGCAGCCCAGGGTCGTTGCTGCCAGGGGAGGTAAATCAGATATGCCTGGCTCTCACTGACAGATTTTCCCCTCCTCGGGAGCTGATGCTGGTGTCGAGATGCAACTCTCCCCTTTCCTTTGGGAAGAAATTCTCCAGTGGGCATCTCTTAACTGCCCCAGCAGACAGGGACCAGCCTGGTGCTGTCCCAAAAAGCCCGGCGGGGAGCCAGAGCCTGTCGGCCGGAGGCTGCTGCACGGCACCGTGGTGGATGCTGCACAGCACGCCCCGCACGCCGCTCCACAACCCGCCGGCGCTGCAGCAGCTCTTAATCAAAGGGAGCTGATTCCCCATTAAGAAGTTACCTGTAGGGCTCCTGATGGACTTTGCCTGCCTCCTAGTAAGTCTATTAATTATACAACAGTTTGTTTCCAATTATGCGGCCAATGAAATGGTTAATCAAGTCCCCTTTGACGGATGCCTTGATATTTAATTGCAAAAAATTTGCTCTCTCAACTAGCTCACCCGAGGAGATGAGATTTCTGTCAGGTTTGTTTTTTTAAATCGGCTTTTCTGCTCTGCTGGCATGATGTTAGTGAGACGAGACTCCTGGCTGCTGGGAGGGCAACTGCCCCTTCATTTTATGCTTCATTACTCCCTTCTCCCTACTCTGAGCCTTGTCTTCTACCCTCCCACTGCCGCCAGACCTTCCCCGGCCCTGGGGGCACGGCCACATCCAGCCCAGGGCAGGGGACTGTCCCTCCACCCTGTGGTCTGTCATCACAGCCAGGAACTTGTTCAGAGAAAGGGGATTTCTAGGGAGGAAAGTCATCCTCGTATGTCTGTGGGTGCAGCCCTTGCACTGGGCTGAGTGCTCCCAGCCAGGCAGGCTTTGCTGGTGCATCCATCTGGTGTCCCCCCCCATCACCCCAGTGCCCCCCAGTTGTCCATTTTGGGGAGAGATGAGTGGGATTTTATCACTGGTGGCAGCTGAAACCAGATTTGGTCTTTTTGTGTGCTCGTGGAGCCAGCTCGTGGCTTGATGGTGGTCTCTGAAACGCAGCCCCGGCTTCCCCAGGGCGTTACAGGTTTGCTGGAGTCACAGACGTGGTGGGAAGGCGTTGTGGTCTCGGTTTTGGTGCTCACCCTCCACTTGATGATGGATGTTAGTTTTCTTCATTTCCCAACGTGCACGCTGGCTTCTCGTTAGCATCGAGCACCTCTGAGGTGTTACTGCAGCCCTTGGGGGTCCCGGGAGGCTCAGCCTGCGGGGTGGCAGCACTCAGAGCGGCGTCCTCCACCTCGCGCCTCCTTTGGCCCTTTCCTGGCCCCGTTAGGGACCGAAACGACCAGGTGCTGCTTCGCATGGAGTCACGGCCCCGCGCCCTGGTGCCGTCGACGAGCCAGCGTGGCCACGGGCAGCAAAGAGCCGCTTTGGGTAGGAGGGGTGTCGCCTCACCTTCTCTTCTCCCCTCTCTCCCCCAGATTTTAGCCGCGTTGGAGAAGGACGAGCAGGCCCGGAGGCAGCGGCTGAGGAGTAAGCTGGAGCAGGCGATCGACACAATGGCCTTAAGCAGCTGAGGAGGCGGCGGCGCGGTGCCAGCGTCCCGGGCGGCAGGAGGGAGGGCCGGCCAGCGGCAGCCGCGGGCAGAAGACGACTTTGGGGCTGGGGCCGGCGGGACCCACGGGAGCCACCGTGCCCCCGCGCGCTTCCCACGGACAAACAAGGAAACCTCGCGCTTCAGCGGAAGAAAGAAAAAAAAAAAAACAAAAACAAAACAAAAACAAAAAAAACACAAAACAAACCCAAATCCCGATGACAGCAGCGACATGGATAAAACCCCCCCGACACACACACACACACACAAACCACACACCCCTCCTCCCCGCGATCCAGCCGGGATGCAGCAGGGACCTCGCAGAGAGGCGATGCCGTCGGGGGAGAAGGGGGTCGCCTGCCCCATGGACCCGCTGGGCAGCCCCTGCCCGGGCAGAGCCCCTGAGCCCGGAAGGAGGGTCGGGACCGCAGGGCTTTCTAGGACGGCGTTTGGATGTTGTTGTTACTTTGGTGGAGGGGGGGGGGTGGGTGGGCTCCTATTTTTACTGTACTTGACTTGCTCTCCCCTCCTTCCCCCCAGCTGGCCTCCCCCTCTCCTCTTCCTCCTTTCTCTTTTTCTGTCTCTTCCCTCTTCTCTCTCTCTCTGGCCTTCTGCCACTAGTGTTAACTGCTATATTTGCACAATTTACACGAGACAAACAAAATTTTTAATTTAAAGAAAAAAAAATTTAAAAATGGGAGGGGAAAAAAAAAAAAAGGTTCGAAATTTTTGAAACAAACTAACAAAAATGGTTTTAAAAATAAGCTAAAGGATTGATGCTGGGGAGATTTGGGGGTGGGGGCAGTAGGGGTGGGCAGGAAAGGGAGAAATCCCTGAGCTTTGATATTTCTAAAATACGTCCTGTGCCATGTTTTATTTGAATGTTGTTTAGTGCGAACAAAAAAAAAAAAAATCAAAAAAAAAAAAAAGTGGGAGTTATGTTAGCTGAATAGGTGATCTTATTTAAATGCTGCTGGAGTGGTTCTGGAGGTCACGATAGGAGAGGAAGGGAGATCCCAAGGTTGATTTTTCTTTTCCTGGGAGATTGCTGAGGGATGGCCGGTGTTTTGTTGAGCTCATCCTCGTTTTCCCGGTCCGGTGGCTGTGGGGAGGTCTGGGCAGCCTGCCCGCCCCTGCCTGTCCCGGGACGATGTGGGGCGGAGGATGGCTGCGGGGGCTTGGGGGCTGTCAGGAGGGTTCGTGAAGAGCCAGCCTGGAGTTTTTTTTAGCAAGTCCCCTGGCGCTGGAGCAGCCTTAACAAAGCCCCTCTAGATATTTTCCCCCCTCCCCATCATCTTTTTGTGTTGATTCAGGGGAAGGGACCAGATCCTTGGTGAAGGGGGAGGCATCTCCTCCATGTCTCCTGACCGGGATGTCCCCCCCCACCCCACAAACCCCGCTGGGTGACCAGCCCGCAGAGGGACCGGGATGCTTGGCCGTCACCGGGCTGTCGCCTGCTCCTCCACCTGGGAAGCCCAATCATGTGCAGGACTTTCCACCCAAGATTGACCTTTCTTTCTCTGTCTTTTCCTTCTTTCTCCCCCTTTCTCTCCTTGCTGTCACCCCATCTCCCCTCCGCCGCCTCCGCCCTGCCAGGAGGTTCGCTGGAAGCCTGAGGTCTCTCCCTCAGCCGCCCCCTTCGAAACGTCAGATCCTCGTGGGTTTGTGCTTTCCAGAGATGAAAAGGTGCCGAATGCTGCCCCAAATGGTAGCAGGTGACCAAAACTTCCAAAAAAATGAGCAAAACCCTTTCCTTTTCTGTACCAAGAGCTCCCGGTGCTGCCCGGGCCACGGCAGACAGGGCCAAACTCTGCCAGGAGCGGGTGGCTGTCGAAATCCAAGTGGAAAGAAGCCCAGCTGATTTCTGTCCATTCCCTTAAATCACAAGTTTAAGGGGGGGAGAGGGAGAAATAATGAAGTTTTTAATTAAAAAAAAAAATAAAAGTGTGTATATATATATATGTGGTTACAATCTAATTCTCGTGCCCCAGTGGGGTGCTGTATAGTTAACTGAAGGAGAATCGAACCAATATAAATATGAAATTAATTTACACAGCCAGTTAAAACAAAACAAACAACTACAAAAAAAAAAGATACCAAATGGTCTGGAAGAAATTTCCAAGCCTTTCTCACCATGCAGAACAATCGTTTGAAGCCTGCACATCTCTCATTATGTTGTAATTTTGTTTGGTTTTGTTTTGTTTTAATAAAGAGGGAAAGGAGAAGTTGCTGATTAAAAAAAAAAACCAAAAAACAAAACAACAACAACATAAAACCCAACCACAACAGCAAAACTATGTTTGAAAAAGAAGTAATAATTGTTTCCCAAACCTACGAACCCTGAGCTGTCACTGGATTTCTGAGAGCTGTGGGCTGTTGCATGACTGTGCTAGATTTTAGTCTGAGTTGATCTTTTTAAGAAACAGAAGAAAAAAACCCCATAAAACAGAAAAATTGCAAGTGTTGAATATTAGAGGTTTGTTTAGACCTGTTATCTATTTTTTTTTATTTGAAATTAATTTGTCACTTTATCGTCCGAAAGAAAAAAAAAAAAATAGCAAAAAGAAAGACTTCCTAAGTTCACACCTCAAATGTGGTACTCGGAGAGCCTTAAAGGACAGCTGTGTGCCTGCCTGCCCCGTGCCAGGGCCGCGGCTGGCCGCCAGCATCTCCCTGGGCGCTCCCATGGGACAAAAATCCTCCCGGGGGGGGGTCCCTCGGGGGGAGCCTTTGCAGAACCCGCTGCGCTGGGGCGGAGGGGTGCCCGCGGCTCCCTTTGGTGCAAGGTTGGCCCAAAGCTGCCTCTTCACGGCACTGCTGGCCGGGCGGCGTTGGCGGAGGTCCTGGAAATCGCCCGGAGGCTGGCGGCCGTGCGTCGGTGGCCGTTGCGATCCGGTGGAAGGGGAGAGGTTGCTCTGAAGTGTCCGTCTGGATGTGCGCGGGCCCTGCCCGTTGCCGTGGTAAGAGCGTCTCGGGGAGCTTCGGCTGCTGTTGAGGGAGCCAAGCGCGTAGTTTTCATGGTGATTGAGAGGGGATGGTGGGACCCTCCCTGTTGCTTGTTGGAGGGGATATATTTCTGAGATCATCTCCCTGGAAATTTCCTTGTTGACAGATGAGGGCTGGAAGCACCGTTAAGAGCGGAGGGTTTGTTAGCCTGTTGCTTTCCCAATAGCAATGCTGCGGGTGCTCCCTTGCCCAGACAGGAGAGTTTTTTGGCTGTGGTGGGCCTGGATCAGATTTTGGCAGCAGAGAGTTTCCCAGGGGGGTCGTGCCGGGCAGGCTGGCGGTGCCATGGTGTGGCTGTGCTCTCTGGGTTCCCCTTGTGCTGTGGCCTGGCTCTTCCCATCCCATGGCGATGCCAGGAGCCCAAGGTGTAGACCCAGGGATGGGTTCCCATTGTCTTCCTCCTGGGGAGCGTGGGGGTGTCTGCGGTTTGCTCCACCAAAGGATCCCCCCCAGCATCTCCCCACCCCTCCAGGATCCCCTTGCTGCCTCTGAAGGGGAGGGTGGCTGTCGGTGAGGCATTGCGATGTTGCCTGCAGCCTCCGGCGCTTCTTGGTGCTACCTTTGCCTTTCGCATGATGCCCAGCGTCCTTAACCGTGCCAGGCAGCCCGGCTTTCCTCCCTCGCCCTGGCCTAGCGGGGGGCAGAGCTGGGTGGGCCGTCCCGTCTAACCCTGCCTGGGAACGGGGAAAGGCAGGGAGAGGCTGGGAAGCATTTGCAGGACGCCTCTTACCGGTGGTATTGCCTGTGCCCCAAAATGGGGTGAGGCAGAGGAGCATCCCGTGCCCTGAGCCTGCGTTTTGGGGAGCTCCCGCTCTGCCCCCCACTGTCAGAGGCATCTCAACCCCGGGGGCTGATCCCCCACGGCTGCAGCAAGTGGGTCCCTCCCTGCCCCTGTGCTCACATTGCCTTTTCTCTTCAGTTTGGGGTTGAAAACAAAGTGCGGTCCAGCCTGGAAGTGTCCCCTGTGCCTGGCCCTGGTGTCCCCCTCTGGCAGGAGCCCTGTGCCTCCCCTGGGTCTGGCCCCAGCCTGGGGGACAGGGAACAGGGGGATGGGTGGTGGGACACCTCCCCCCCCCACCCTGGGCTCACCTGCTCCCAATCAAAGCGCACAATGAGCTGTCCTTTAAGAAAGCAGGGGGAAACCTTACATGGACCCAGCGAAAGGCAGAGAATTTTAATAGTTTTAAAAAATTAAATGGGGAAAAACTAAAATAAATCTGGAGTCCTAATTACCTTTCTGTGATTGTTTCAGACTTGAAGCAACAGGCCAGCATGGCTGGTCAAACACCCTTTGATCGTGTAAATATCCTGCTATTTCCTATTTTAATGTTCTTCAGATTTAGTACTTGTAAATAAACACACGCATCAAGGAGAGATTAAACATTTTTGCTAAAGTCGGTGTCTTGCCTGTGTTTTTGGGGGTGATGCAGGCAGGAGGAGTGGGTGGCATGGGGAAAGGGCTGTTCCTGGGAGCAGCGGCCAAATTGGTGGCCATGCCAGGGTGGAATGATGCAAAACGGCATCGGGATGGGCCAGCATCACCGGGGCTGCTGGGTGCACCTGTGGGTATGGGCAACCGGAGCTGTGGGTGTTCACAGCCCCAAAGTATCTCTGGGGGCTGCTCTGGGAACTCACGGGGCGGGGGGGGGGGGGTTTGGACAGCTGATGTATGCAGGGTGAGAGGGGGCTTTTAATCTATCGGCCACTTCCCCGGGTGGCTAACCTTAAATTGTTTTAAACCTTTTGATTTCACTCTTCGCTTTTCAAAGCGCTCAGAGCTGCTGGTCAGATGCAGAGGAGCTGAATCTGTTACGTTGCAAGCAAGAAGAGGTAAATACCTGCCTGGCTGCACTGCCACTCGCTGGGTCGAGAGGAGCCGACCGGGGCTGGGACAGCTTCACTTCTTCCTCTCAGCCATCCTAGACCTTCCTCCCACGGGGACACGGTGGGGTGACAGCACAAGTGCTTGGGGATGGGGGGAAGGAGCTACACGAGGGTGGGGGGTGACACTGCAGCTGTGTCTCTGCAGGCTCTGCACGCTGTAGGGTGTCCTCTTTTCCAGTTCCTGGTCCTTGTCTTTAAGCTTTGCAAAGCCGCTGTGTCACCCCGTAACTCTGGGTACCTCCAAACTGCGTTGTAGGGTGTGCAGGATCCTGAAGCAAAGCACCAAGGAGAGGAAGCCCAGGACCACCACAGCACCCTCTTCACGGTGGTGACCTTCCCCAGTGATGCTGGGTGGCCGCAGTGGACGTGGAGGGACATTCCCAGGCACAAGGAGGTGAGTTTGGGGGGGTGCACCCCAGGGGTCTAGGGTCAAGGCTGGGGCTCTGCCCAGCATGCAGACCGAAATCACACAAATTAAGTTTCTTTTTCTTTTTTTTTTTTTTTTTTTTTTTTCCTTCTTTTCTTAGTGTCTTCTTCCTGGGGCCAATCTCCTGATGGTGTGGGCTGGCAGGGCTGGCTCTGTGTTGTGGATCCTAAATGTATCTTTTCTCTGCACTTAGTGTATATATATATAAACTGGATGTTTTTTCTGTTTTCTCCTGCAGTTTTCTGACTCTCCAGCAAGAACATCAGCATCAAGTGTTAAGCATCCACTATTTTAGCCATAATGCCATTAAAGATTGATTTGATCATTTTTTCCTATCTTAAAAAAAAAAAGAAGTTTTCTTTTGCCAACCTTTCAAATGTTTAAGAAAATCAAATTTGAACTGAATTTTGTTCAGGTTTCTGGAAGGATTTAACTGAGAGCAATGGGAAAAAGACCCTCATCTTGCCAGATTTTGTGGGTGTAAACACTGTCCTGGTGGCCACGTGGGAGCTGGTGGCAGCTGAGCATCAGGCAAGTGAGCGCTGTGCTGAGTATGGAAACTGTATTTAAATTGCACTTTCCAGAAGTTTTCAGTCCCACATGTAGTGGGGCTTTCATTGCTTTCAGGGCCTTTTAAGGGCATATGGGTGAGGATCTTTCCCCAAAGAGTTGGGCTGGGTTTCCATGGTGGCATGTCCTCGTTGGATGTGTTGGAGGGGACCCCACACTCCTGCCTGTAGCAGCCCCCCCACCAGTGCAAGAAGCAGAGCTGACCCCCGCTTTGTCCCCTCGGTGACTCACCTCCTCAGGGCCTCAGTGCTGTTGGGGCTCCCTGTCTTCCCTGGGGACAACAGCCATGGATTCTCTCCTGCTCTGGGATGAAATTTCTTGCTGGAGGACACCTGTGTGCCACAACAGGGTGCAGAGAGGGGAAGGGGTGACCTTGACACCCGCTGGGACTTGCTGTTGTCTCCATAAACCCTCTTGCTGGACCTTGTTGCTTTACTCTGAGTCCTTTGTAGGCAGGATTTTTTCGTTTTTTCCTCCTTCTTAATATTGTCTCTATCGTTTCACCAGGGAACAAAAGCTCAAAAACCTCCTGGTTGGCAAAATAAATAAATATCTAGTATTTCACAATTTCCAGGATGCTCTCCAATACAAATCGCACCAGTTTTCCCAAGGAGTAAGAGCTCCTGGCATGAAGCCAGGGCCTCCAACGACAGCTACAAATGTCTTTGTTTGCCTCCTCAGTTCTAGTGCAGAGCTAAGCAGAAAAAGATTATCAAGGCCTGCAAATGATTGTGTAATCCACAAATGCACTTTATTTGATTAAATGATAAAATGTGAACCTTCCAGCAATAACATGCACTACTGCTGCCCGAGACGGCGGCAATTCAGCCAATCTGCAGCAGCCACAGGGTGCCCGGGGCCGGCCGGCGCTCAGCGGAGAAGGCAGCCTGCTCCCCGCAGCCACCCTGGCTGACCCGGGGGGGTGTGGAGGCCCCCGTGCCACCACCTCGCCCAAACTTGGGCTCCAGGTGAGTGGCACGTCCCAGCGCACTCATGTGAGGTCTGAAGGTCTTGTCCAGGGCTCCTTGCACAAGATCTGTAACCCTGCACTGTCGCTGTGGCCTTGCGCT